GGGTGGCCTTCAGGACAGGTAAACTCCTTTGCAAACACACAGACATCTTGCAAGGAGAGATACACGGGGAGGGGAAGGCAGAGCCCACCTAGGCCAAAACATCATTGTGGGCTTTAAGTTTCAAACTAGACTTTTAAAAGTCGACAGCACTTAAGGCTAGCATTGTGGTGCAGACCTGTAGTCCCAGCCACTGGGGAGGGTGAGGTAGGAGGATCTCTTGAGCCCAGGAGTTCAAGCCGTCAGTGAGCTATGATCATGTCACTGCACTCCAGCCTGGATGACAGAGCAAGACTCTAAAATAAAATTGAAAAAAAAATTCAGCCAGGTAAATCTATAGGGTTAAAGCTTAAAAAGTATAAAAGGTGTATAGAAAAGTCTCCCCACATTCCTCTACCCCCATCTACTCCACCCACCTCCAGAAAACAGAACCACTATTAGGAGCAGATCTTTGTGTAGTTTCTGAGAGATTTTTATGCAGATATAAATAAATATTTTTTGCCTTCTTTCTCCACAAATGCTGGCATACCCTACGTGCCATTCAGCACTTTGAATTTTTTTTTTTTTTTTTTTTTTTTTTTGAGACAGAGTCACTCTCGCCAGGCTGGAGTGCAGTGGTGCCATCTCAGCTCACTGCAACCTCCACCCCCCGGGTTCAAGCAATTCTCCTGCCTCTGCCTCCCAAGTAGCTGGGATTACAGGTGTCCGCCACCACGCCCAGCTAATTTTTTGTATTTTTAGTAGAGACAGGGTTTCGCTATGTTCGCAAGGCTGGTCTCCAACTCCTGACCTTGTGATTCGCCTGCCTCAGCCTCCCCAAGTGTTGGGATTACAGGTGAGAGCCACTGTGCCTGGCCACTTCGGCTTTTCAGTTGAACACTGTGTCTCAGGGACCCTCCCACATCAGTGTATGCAGAGTTTCCTGGTTCCGTTTTATGGCTGTATACTGTTCCACTTCATGATTAGCTGGACCACAATTTTCTTTACCATTCCCCCAATAGAGGACACTAAGTGCTTTCCGACTTTTTTTTTTTTTTAACATAAACAATGCCACCATGAAATGAACAACCTGGTATACCTTTTACTTTTTGGGATGTGGCTCTATCATCAGGATAAACATAAATTTCTAGAAGGGAAATATCTGAATCAGAGTGGGTGCATTGGTAGCTCTCAGAGGTATTCATAAATAGTTCTCCAAAAAGGAGACACCCATTTACACTCCCACCAGCAAGTAGGAGGGTGTTTTACTTTTTCTTTTTGAGATGGAGTCTCACTCGTTGCCCAGGCTGGAGTGCTGTGGCTCGATCTCAGTTCACTGCAGCCTCTGCCTCCCAGGTTCAAGCAATTCTCCTGCCTCAGCCTCCCAAGCAGCTGGGATTACAGGCACCCCCACCACACCTGGCTCATTTTTCGTATTTTTAGTAAAGTCAAGGTTTCACCATGTTGGCCAGGCTGCCCTTGAACTCCTGACCTCAGGTGCCCCATCTTCCTCGGCCTCCCAAAGTCCTGGGATTACAGGTGTGAGCCACCGCGCCCAGCTGTCTTACTATTAACATATCCAAAGTGTTCAACTTTTCTTCCAAGTCTGCCTCTCCTCCTCCTCTCACCACCATCACCCATTTGCTCAAGTCTGAAAGCAGGACGCCACCCTCACACCTCCATCCTTGCGCCCCAGCAGAACACCCTGACAGTACTTCTCCTAGAAGAATCTGTCCCCTTCCCGCCTTCACTCCAGTTACATCTGGAGTTAGCCTCAGCCCCTCTCACCTGGACACCTGTGCAGGTCCCCTGCCTCTCCACTCTTCCCGCTCCTCGCCAGCCTACCCCATCCTCCACACTGCAAGCCAAGGGGCCACAAACACTGCAGCCGGGCAGGCTCACTCTCAGCCCATCATAGGGGTGGAAAATAGGACACTCCCCTCTGCAGGATCCAGGCTGTTTGGTATATCCCTCAAAACCCGGGCCCTGCTGTAAGGCCCGGACCGCCTGGAGTTCTAGGGGTCGTCTCCCTGCATCCATGTGAAACTTCTGAGCGTTCGTCCTTGGGGTTGTGCCTCATGGCATCCCAGAGCCATGCAGGCACTATGTTCACACCCTGCTGCCCTGCCAGAGGAACAGGAAGGAGAGCAACAAAGGGAGACTGCCGCAGGCCTGAGTGTGGAGGAGAGAAAGAACGGCACAGGAAAGAGAGGCCGGGAAGGCCCCAGCTGCCGGCTCAGGTTCACTTCGTGTAGACATTGCTTCAGCAGGTTGCTCTGCTAAAGAGAGGAAAATACACTTGACGCATGGTCCCTGCTTGGCTCAAAGCTGCGTGTGTCTCTAGGCTGGTGACAAGCGGGCAGAGCTTATTAAAAGCAGTGCACATGGTTCTCTGCCCAAGCTCAGAGCCTTTTCCCTCTGAACCGCTCAGAGCATTTCCCAGGGTGGGTGAGGAAGTGTGCAAGGCCTAGTAGGCCTCAGACTGTGTGGCTGCAGTTTCTGTAATTGTTGTTCATCCTGAGAAGTGAAGGTTTGGAAAACGAAACGGAGAGACCCAAGAACGCTATCGGCTTGGGGCATTGGTTCAATGTTTACTCGGCAAATGTGCACCGTGCTCCTGCCCCGCGCTGGGCTGAGCTGGGAGCAGGATTAGACACTAAGACAAAGTCATGGAGAAGTCCGGTGCCACGAGCTCTGCAGGAAAGATGGGCCCAGGGCTCTGTGGGCCGACTTTGGGCAGGAAGAATGATGAGGATGTAAATCCTGAGGACGCGCTGGCTCCCGCAGACATTCTCAGAGTCCCAGAGAGCCAGGGGGCAGGAGGAATTCCAGCTGTGGTTCTGGAGGATTGTTAAACCTTTTTGGTGTGTTTCCTACTCTGAGGCATGTTTGCTTTACTCACAATGACGATGCGATTCTCTGATTACCTAGCAACTATAATAAAGCTCTAAAGGAAAAGACAGGTTCTTCCAATGCACAGAGAGTCCCAGGTGGAAGGACAAGACCCCAGCCTGGAGAGGAGTTTCTGTCGGGAGGAGAATGAAAATGTAAATCCCTGAAGCTGGGAATGGGTCCGGTGCTGGACCCACTCTGGACAGTGCTGAAATGTACTTCAAGGTCCTTTCTCAGTTGCTGGAGCATTTGAAGGGGATGTTCTCAGAGATCTGGGCTGGTAATCGTTTCCCTGCCAAGGTTTCACCAGATGGCCCTTATGTTGCCACACCTGTCTCCCCAGGTTGCCCTCCTTAATCACTTCGAACCAGAGCCATCTGCCAGGGCAGCGGGCAATGCGATGCTGGTGGGCAGCTCCATCATCTCTAGCCAAGAATCATTTGGATGGGCCAGAACTGCACTCTGGTCCTAGCCAGAGGACCCCAAGTTCCAAAGTCCCTCATTGTGCAAACAAAGAGACACAAGTTGAGGCAAGTCAGGCTCAGAAGGAGACCATGAAAGTCAGCATCTGTGGGAGGGGCAGGGGGGTGCAGAGAGGATAGGGGAAAGGGAGGAACCAGCAACGCCTGATCCCCTCCATGTGCCTGACTCTGCAAGTGGTTTTGTGTCCACAAACCTGCCATGCCTCTAGGAGGCAGCACCAATTGTCCTGATTCACAGCTCGGAAGCAGGGACAGACAGCATGGATAACTCGCTCAAGATCACTCCAGGCAAAACTGGGAATTTGTCTTAGTTCATTCAGGCTGCTATAACAAAACAGCACAGACAGGGTGGCTTACACGCAACAGAAATGTGTTGCTCACAGTTCTGGAAGCTGGAAGTCCAAGATCAAGGTGCTGGCAGATTCTATGCCTGGTGAGGGTCTACATTGTGGTTGCTGTGTCCTCACACGGTGGAAGGGAGGAAGGGGTTCTCTGGACCTAATCTTTCATTATGGCACCAATCCCATTCATGAGGGCTCCACCCTTCCAGCCTAATCACCCCCTAAAGGCCCCACTTTCTCATACCATTACTTTGCAGGGTATGGGTTCAACATACAAATCTTGGGGGGAATACAAGCAATCAGGCCATAGCAGAGTGAAAGCCAAATATCCCCAACTCTAATGTCCACCCCTCCCCTGTAAAACCGTACGCAGGATCTACCAGAGAGAACGTGCGTCAGATGAGTGCACATTCCTGGGAACTGAGAGCTTGTATAAAAATTCACATCATGGCCTTTTAACTGCACCCATTAACTCAAGACCCCTTGTCTCCAAACCCCAGCTTTGACTAGTTAGAGAATCACACAGAAATCATTATAAAGTGCTTAGAACATCAGGGTTTTCACATGGTGACTAATTCTTTTGTATACTAATTTTTATTGATACATAATATTTGTACGTATTGCTGGGGTACATGTGCTATTTCGTTACATGTGCAGAATGTGTGACATCCAGTTGGGGTATTTAGGCAATCTATCCCCTCCAGTATTTATCATTTCTTTTCTTTTATCTTTCTTTCTTTTTTATTTTTATTTATTTATTTTCTTTTTGACAAAGTCTCTCTATGTCACCCAGACTAAAATGCAGTGGCACGATCTCAGTTCACTGCAACCTCCACCTCCCAGGTTCAAGGGATTCTCCTGCCTCAGCCTCCCGAGTAGCTGGGACTACAGGCGTCCACCACCACACCTGGCTGATTTTTTGTATTTTTAGTAGAGACAGGGTTTCATCATGTTGGCCAGACTGGTGTCGATCTCCTGACCTCAGGTGATCCACCCTCCTTGGCCTCCCAAAGTGCTAGGATTACAGGTGTGAGTCACCACACCCAGCCTGTATTAATCATTTCTATAGGCAAACACATTTATCAAACCACCTCCATCCTCTAACATTTGTTTTTTCTCAGATGTGAGATCCTATTTGTGGGACTGTAACAACAAGGAACTTTATTAGAGAACTAGAGAGGCACATGTGCCCTAGAGGAGGAGCAGATGTCCTCTTCGAGTTGTCCTCTATCAGGGGTCAGGTTGGAAGAAATATGGCCCCCACCTGCCTTTGTAAATAAAGTTTTATTGGAACACAGCCACACCCATTCATCTGTGTCACATCTATGGCTGCTTTGTCACTACAACAGCAAAGTTGAGCAGTTGCAGTACAGACTTTGTATGGCCCACAAAGCTGATAATATTCATGATCTGGGCCTTTACAGAAAAAGTTTGCTGACCCCAGCCCTTACTCACTATGGGATTGCCTGTGCAGGAGCTGTGCCAGCTGTGTTCACATAATACATCCTGTTTTCATTCACCAAGCTCCCTTCCGACTACAAAATTCTGCCATTCTCTGATGTAGGAGATGTGACTCAAGGCCACACCGTGCACTTCTCCATAAAGCCACCTCCTGGACCAGTTGGGTTTCTTGCTCTTTTTCCTTCTGAAGCAATCCTCTCTCTCCCACTAGGCCCCCTGAGTGCACTACACAGAGGTGCCGCCTCTGAGTGGAACGTGCCAGGCCCCAGAGCTGCCTCTGGCTCTGCAGGAGCACAGAGTGGGCAGAGGGCTCTCTCTGCTGTTTTCCATCAGGGCGTGTCCCATCTCAGTCTAACAGGGAGGTGCCCAGAAAACAGGTGGAGGTGAGGGCCACTCAGCCCAGGAGCCCTCTGAGCTGTTCCTTCTTGACCGGCACACACAGCTCACTCTTTCACTTCCTTTTCCATCAACTGCCGGGCCCAAGCCGGTCTTCCAGGGAGCAGCTATGCCATACCTCTACCGGGCCCCAGGGCCCCAGGCACACCCGGTTCCCAAGGACGCCCGGACCACCCACTCCTCAGGCCAGAGCTTTGAGCAACTGAGGCAGGAGTGCCTGCAGAGAGGCACCCTTTTTGAGGATGCAGACTTCCCGGCCAGCAATTCCTCCCTGTTCTACAGCGAGAGGCCGCAGGTCCCCTTTGTGTGGAAACGACCAGGGGTGAGTGGGGCGAGCAGGGGAAGGAGCACAGATGACGCTGAGGCTCAGAAGCTCGCGCAGGAAGTGGAAATGGGAGCTGGGAGGGGCCGGCTACGCTCAATGCAACCGAGGTGCATCACCCCAGTCTACTGTGGAAAGCTTTGCAGCTTGGAGGCAGAAAATGATAACAGGCCTGGGATGCTCTGCGGTGGGGGCCCGAGGCATCTGGCTGTACCCCCTCCCCTGCCTCAAGCTCTCTGACTCCCACCGAGGCTGAGGACCTGGAGTCAGAGCGGGTCTTGTCAGCAGGTGATAGGCACGAATCAAAACCTTATTCACAAGGACAGGCCCCCACCCTGTGTGTGTGGTAACACTGAGATCACGTACGTACAGTGCTCTGTGGCCTCTGGCCCAGAGCTGAGGGTGCTCAGTGTGGATGGATGTTTAGCTCAGCAAGGTCTCAGCAACTGTGTGACAGATGGAATACAAGGGAAGCAGGAATCTTCTCCCCAGAATCATGCATCCCCCATTCCCAGAGATCAGGGTGAACAGTGCCCCACCTCTGACAGTCTGGAAGTGTCTCCCCAAGAGGTACCAGCTGGTCACTGGGTCCCAAGAGGTGCCAGCTTGTGCCTGAAACACCATGTCAATATTTGCGGTGCTGGATTAGTCAGGGCTCTACCTCTGACCCGGCGCCAGCTGGGCTGGCTTCCATTCCTTCCGGGTGGGTACGGGCCTGGGAGTGGCTACCGTGGGGTCAGGTTGCTTTTGGGCAAGGAGGGGCAGTACAAGGGATGCTGGTCCTACAGGTGAGATCCTGAGTGCCCGTCTTATCCTGCCAATTTGTCTCATGCATATAGTCATATCACTTAATTTCCCTGAGCCCCAGTCTCCTCACCTGTAAAATGGAAACAATAATGACTAAGGCAGGCCAATGTCTAGCACACAGAAGGTTTCCAGTACATTACAGCTATTGTCACATTATTACTATTACTGATACTATTATTATCATTATGATGATGATTAGCTCTGAGTCTCATCTTACATATGAGTAGCAAAGGACTCACCATAACTACCTCCTCTCTATCTCCCAACATTAAAATAATGTTGATGATTTAAGGTTTTTTTTAATGCACATTCACAAAACCTCTGGGCTCTTCATGGGCAGGGCCAAGGTAAACCTAAGCGGCTGTTTCCGAAGTGGTAAGCGTTTTATTGTTGTTTCCTGCGGTAGGCAGTGTGGGGTGCGTGTGTGTGCATGCACTTGTGTGTGTAGGAATTTGACTATGTGTGTGCATGTGTGTGACTGTGTGCACACGTGCGTGGATATGCATATGCATATGTGTAGGGGGGCAGGGTGACTGCAGGCATAGGTACACAGGTGCCTTGATCTTCACCCGCTAGTTGATCCCACAAGGTGCCATGTTCGTGGGGAAATCACAGTGAGCATTCAGTGGCCCTATCAGAGTTGGGGTGAAAGCTCCCAGGCACCTTCCTCACCACAACCCAAAGCCATGCTGTGATTGGTTTTGGTTCTCTGCATATGGCCAATTGCAGTGTGAGGTCAGGGCACTGGCAGATCACGTGGGGTTGCACTTTACAGACAGGATTAGTAGATCATGGTTTGCTAAGTAAGAAAAAGGGCATTTCCAAAATAAAAAAGCAGAAGTTACAAGACATAAAACAGTGACCTCTGACCCTCTGCCCGTGACTGTTAGGTCTCCCTGGGCTTATTTCCGGCCTCAGCACATGAACAAATGGGCGCGTGGGCAGCTGCCCAGGCTGCAGGCTACGGGTGCATTTTTAACTATGGGCAGAGATTTCCCTGCAGTTGATGTCAGGAGTCCTGAGAAATAGAGTTCCAGAGAAACTGATTTCCTGGGCTCCCGGTGAGCAGAGCCCCTGACTGGAAGCAGGGGCTCTTTCTGTTTGATCCAGGGTGTTGTATAAATGTTCATGTTCTCTACAGGCGCTTGATATGAACAGGTTGGAAGCACTTTTTCTCTTCCTTAAAATGGGGACAATAACGCAACTTATGGGGTCCTCATGAGGGTCAGCTGCGTTAGCATGAGTAGCGCACTTAGCAAAGAGCCTGGTGTGTAAAGAAATTAGTGCCAGTCCTTGTTATTTCTACTGCTGTCATTGCAACCTAACACCACTGCCTCCTGACTCTAGGAGGGTCCCCATCCTCGCAGTCTGTCTTGATGTCACTTAGTTTAAAGTATAATCTGTACTCTACAACTCACCTACTTTTTGTCAAAGTTAGAATTCTCCAAGATAAAAGCTGGGCACACAAACCAGCATGGAGGGCATCTTTGTCTCCCTCTTTAGAGTCTCCCCTCCTGGGACCAGGGCCACCAAGGCCTGCCCAGTGACTCTAGAGTCCCAGATCTCCACTCCAAGGGGCTGTCTTCCTTAGTGTTATCTCCTCTGGCATTGCCCCAAATGCTGGGTGAGGCCTTCATTCATAGGCCAGAGCCCTTGATACACACAAGCCCCTGCCAAGATGCATCCTGACCTGCCACCCAGCCCATGCCCCTGTACCAGCCCTCTGTCCCTTCCTCATCCCACTGTCTCCACCCAGGCAGGGCAGACCCTTTCCTGATCTTAACCCAGGTCTAATATGTTGCTGTTGTTCCCACGGACTCATTTTCAGAATCTGTTCTGCCTTTTCCTTTGTCTGCAACTGAGATTGTCCCTTTGGTCTGGTCCTCATTCCCACACCCCTATCTGTTTCTTAATTAGGGGAGTTAGGGGCTTTACGTCGTATCTTACAGATTTCTGTAAAATCAGGAGCAAAAGGGCTGAGGATGAGCATGGAGATTCTTTCTGCAGCATGGAGTCACAGGGGGTCGGGGGCAGCGGGCCATAGGGAAATCACAAGCGTTACCAGGTTCCCTGCAGACCTCTGTGGCTTGGGCATCGTTTGCAGTGGGGCTCAGCACTACGCGGTGCATGTCTCAGCAGCCCGTGGGACCGTGGGGCTGAGGGCCCTCCTCCCCAGCACCACCTTCTTGTCAAACACAGCTGTGCTTGGGGAGGGTGCGCAGAGCACAAAGCCAAGGGGACATTGGAGGGCAGTGGACAGCCAGGCTTGCCCTCCAGGGAGCCCAGGGCAAGGAGTGCACTGAGGGGGTGACTCAGGGAACTGGCTGGGAGGGGCTGGGAGGCAGAGAGGTGATAGGCTCAACCTGGAGAGAAGGTGACATCACCCCCAGGTCTCATGCAAGGAGCTGTGTACCTGAGTGTAAGCGGGTGCACAGAAAGAAGAGGAGGGAGTATCGGGTGGGATCTCCCAGCCTGATGGGGAGCAGCACCATGCAGTCCAGCCCTCCTTGTCTGTACCCATCTGTTTTTGGCCAGGCAATTCCTCTCCCAATTCTCAGTGTAAATCCAGGACACCTCCCTGAAAGTGCCCACACCCCTCTAGCCTGTGTGGACAACCCCCCAGCAGACCTGTGCACAGCGTGGGACGTGACCACAGCCTCTCCTGCACGGTGGGCTTGCTGTTCCCTGTGCTGCTCCCCTGACCCCCAGGAGGGGTTGTCAGTTGTTCTGGGACAGCCCCAAAGGCCCCATGGCCTCCATAGTGCTGGGCACATGACAGGGATGAGCAGACAGCTATGAACGGCAGCGTCTGGCATCTCCAGACCTTGCTAGAAATGTGGCTTTTCTTCACTGGAAGACCATGTGAAAGAAAGGATGAATGAAAAAGAAAGAGAGAAAGAAAGAGAAAAAGAGAGGAGAGGAAGAGAGGAAGAGAGAGAGAGAGAAAGGGAAGGAAGGGAAGGGAGGAAGGGAGGGAGGGAGGGAGGAAGAAGGAAGGAAGGAAGGAAGGAAGGAAGGAAGGAAGGAAGGAAGGAAGGAAGGGAGGGAGGGAGGGAGGGAGGGAGGGAGGGAGGGAGGAAGGAAGGAGAAAGAAAGAGAAAAAAGAAAGGAAGAAAGGAAAGGAAAGGAAGGAAGGAAGGAAAGAAAGAAAGAAGGCTTTTCCCTTTGTAAATTATTCAGTGTGCTTAATAGAGGAAAGTCTGTGTCTTCAGCTGAGCCGCGATGATGTACAAAGTAAACAGAACAGTCCCTGAAAGCAAACATTCCAGGGTGATGGGCCCTTAGTGCTCCAGGAAAACCACCTGGTGGTAGGGCAGTGGGGCGGGGGAGGGGTGAGGGAGGGGTCTGCGTGCCTCCCTCAGGGATTCAAGCATCTCCAGGCAGCAGTCTGGGCTCACTTCAGGTTTGTCAAGGCCCCTGCAATTGAGACACCTATGATCGTCCTATAACAGGACTGTAGCTTCAGGTAACCCCATTCTCATGGCCTCCCAAACAACATTTCACAGGAACAACTGTACATCCAGGATCGACATGCACATGCAGGACACTCACGCGTAGACAATGCTCCCCAGTGCACAGGCAACCAGCACACATGTGGAGCATGCACAGGTACAGAAGTGTACCACACCTGGGCACACACACTAAGGCAAGTCACAGGCACCTTGCACATGTGGGCATGTGGGCCGTTACATACACACCACTCCCAGGCCCACGGCCTAGCTGCCGTTCCACACATGCATCCGCAGAACCCCCTGCGACTGGCCCGGGTGCACGCCAATTCCCAGAAACTGCCCCGCAGAGGAATCGGTCACACATCCAGTCAGCTCCCCAGTTTATACCCGATGACTAATTTGTGTTTACTTGGAGAGAGTTTCTGAGTTTTCTCCTTTTGTATTTTTCTCCTCATTGGGTACGATTTGGTTTAAAACAAAAACAAAAACAAACCTCTCCTGAACAAAACAACCAATTGCAAGACAGGAGCTGGAGGCGGCGGCAGCTGCAGGCACAGTTGGTGCGGTTGGCCGGGCCAGGCCTGCAGAAGGCTGGGGGAGGGGAGGGACAGGGAGGATGGGAAGGAGGCGGGCATCCGGGAACAGCCCTGCCCCATGAGCCAGCACAGCCTGCTGGGCAGGCATCTGTGGCTTTTGGAGTGCATTTTATGTCCACTTGAGGAGTGAGTAGCAGTGGCAGTGGGGGCATTGCTCACCAGGGCAATCCCCTGGCAGGGACTGGGCAATCAAGACAGGGAGGGCTTGGGGGAATCCTGGGGTTCCCTTTGGGCAGGCACATTCTGCAACAAGTCCAGAATATCTAAGCTGGCGACAGATGAGGATGCAGCTGTGAGAAGTTAAATGGTCCACACTGAGCCCCACTGCTGAGTGGGGCAGGCTATTGCTAGGACTCTACCGAGGCCCACTAATATGGTCCTGGTTTGCACTGTCCTTCTGGGCTCAGCTCAGAGCCACCTGCAAACTCCTGCGCTAGCTGAGGTGGAGGGGGAAGAACAGCAGTGTACCTCCTACAGATGAGAGAGGTCTGCGCAGGCAAGCCAGGACCCCAGAACTGAGCTCTGCCCCCCACCTTCACTCCCTTTCCAGCCACCATGGAGATCAGAGTCATTTAATGAAAAGGCTCCAAGGCTACCTGGAGCTGGGGGTGGGAATGCAAAGACGTGTGAGACCTGGCAGAGGAGACGCCAGCATTTGGGAGGTCCTTATGTCTGCCAGACCTGGGGTTTTGGTGTATCTAAAAACACCCCGTGTTTTTCAGAAATTCTCCTGGCCAAGTTTTCTTGAATATTCTAGACACTAAGGTCGCACATAGCTCTCCCTGGGCAGGCGCCCTTGGTGTCTGTCACTCCTCCAGGCTGTCACATCCTGGGAGATGCAGAAAGAGCACCAGCACTTGAAGCTTCTGCTCTTGGTCCTAATAATTCCCTTGACTTCAGAGAAATCTCTATCCTGCCTGTGATTCTTTGGGACACAAGATCAGAGGAGAAGCAGGGTCCTGAGAAGCCTGAGGAAGACAATTCAAAGCAGAGGTCTCTCAGGGAAAGTGGCGCAGCTTGAGCTCCCCACGCGGCGTCCGCCCAGACACTGCTGGAACCTTCCACTTCCAGCCCAGGCCCCTCCTCAGTCCTGGTGCCTGGAAAAGTGGGGAGAGGCGGGAAAAATCCTTCACTCCTCTGCAGGCCCCGGCCCAGTTAACTCACCACACCTGCAGGGTGAGCCAGAACGTGCCTCGCTGTCACAGGATTGGCTGTTTCCTCTTCCGGGACCGGCCCGGCTTCCTCCCTCCTTCCCTTTGTTTAGGTCTGTGCTCCTCTGCTTCCCCTAGAGACGGCTCCCCTGCTGACTGCGGTAGCTAGCCTTGCGCCATCCCACCCCTTCCCTCTCCATCCTCGTTCTTTTCTCTCTTGGTTTATGGTTTGTCTCCTCCTCAGATGCAATTTGCAAAACTCTCCTGAACAAAACAACCACTTCTGGGAGGTGGTGGCAGCTGCAGGCACAGTGGGCACCGTGGGTGAGGCCAGGCCTGAGGCCAGCTGGGGGAGGGGCGGGGCAGGAGATGGGAGGGGGCGGGGCTTCGGCGAGCACGGCCCACCGCATCCAGGGCAGCTCCAAGAGGGCGGGGGCTTTCCCTCTCTCTTTGCTGCCATCCAATGCCAGGAATGGAGCCCAGCAACCCAAATGGTGGAAAAATATATGCATTTCGTAAGATTACTTTCTACCCCTTTTTGTTCATGAAATATCCCTCCATATTGTATATGTATATATTAATATGTGTTAACGATTAGATTAATATACATAATGTATGTGCTTATGTGCAATATAGAATAATATACATATGTATATATAATCCACTTCGGTGAAACCATATGAGAGATGCGTGGATATCTCTCTTTGTATGGTATAGATACATATAATTTCACCTAAGTGCATATCTAAAAAAAGAAACACTGGGCAGGGTGGCATGTGTCTGTTACCTCAATACCTTGGGATGCCAAGGCAAGAGGATCACTTGAGGCCAGGAGTTTGCGACCAGCCTGGGCAACATAGCGAGACCCCCATCTCTACAAAAAAAAAAAAAATTATAAATTAATTGGGCGTGGTGACTCATGCCTGTAGTCCCAGTTACTTGGGAGGCTGAGGTGGGAGGATTGCTTGAGCTCACAAGGTCAAGGCTGTAATGAGCTATGGTCATGTTACTGCACTCCAGCCTGGGTGATAGAGCAAGACTCTGTCTCTAAACCTATATATATTTGGAATCCACTGGCGGGGAAGGATTAAATTAAAAACTGGAGAAGTTGGGTGGGTGGGGAGTGTGTTTAGTCCAAGGCCCCAGCCTGTGGTGCATGCATTACTCAGCTCGTTGAAGCCCACAGAGGTCACAGAGCTCACAGCTGGGGTAGCCCTGGACTCCTAGCCCAGTGCCTGAGTGAGCACAGGAATCCTCAGCGTGTGGCTGATGTCCCACTTTGTGGCCAGGTGTGGCCTGAGTCTCTTGGGCTAGTGGTTGGTGCTGAGTGCTGCTCAGTAGGCAGGACTCCCCAGGGGAGGAGATTACCAAAGATGAGCCCAGGCTTGTCCAGAGCATAGAGAGGTGGCAGCCTTTTCCATTCCCGTGGCCCTCCTCAGGGAAAAGAATCAAGCATGACAAAAGCCCTCGGCACCAAGAAAGCAGAGACCCTGAGCCACCTTTCATGGTGGCTTGCAGCATGGCAGGTCTCAGTCTAATAACACTCTCATTCCTCCAGGAAATCGTGAAAAACCCGGAATTCATTCTTGGAGGAGCCACCAGGACTGATATCTGCCAGGGAGAGCTTGGTGAGTGTGAGTGGATGGAGCATGGCGAGAGGGAGGTTGGGTCGCTAGGACAGGTGAGCAACGGCAGCATGGGGTCCCTGAGGACCCAAGAGGCATGGGGTTGGGGGAACAACACTGCTTCAGCCTCCGCTTCCTCGTTCCCTCTGAATGGAGTCCAGTGGCCTCAAGCCCCTGCACCCCTGTTCCTCTAGAGTCAGATGTGCCTGTGATGTGGGGCTCACAGCCCCAGAGTTTCCAGAGGAGAGTGACACCCAGCAGCATTGGTCGGGCTCTCCTACACCACCACGGTAGCTAACACCTGCACACATGAACGCAGTCACCTGCCAGGTACTCTCCCTAGCACACATGGCCTCATTCCATCTTCCCAACCCACCCTCCTAACGTCACAGATGAGAAAACGGAGGCTGAGGAAGGCTAACTAACTTGTCCAAGGTCACAGAGGTGGCAGACGGGCAATCAGGATGTGAACCCAGACCTTCCAGCAGTAGAGCCCTTGCTGCTAACCATTATACACATTGCCTCCTGAGGAGCACACCCTGGGGAGCCGCTCCCCAGCAATCCAGTCTGCCTCCTGCAATGGACCTGAGTGTGCCTCAAGTCACTCAAATTGGGTCTTGCATTTTAGGATTTAATCCAAATGGGCTGGGTTTACCTTTAGTCTATCTATGAAAGAGCAAGAGAGAGAGAGAGAGACTTTCTTTTAAAAAACACCAGTGAAATCAGCCGAGAGAGCAAACCACTGCAAGCTTGTGCGGACCCTGACTTACTTATAGCTGAGGTTGCCACTGTGGTCTATTGGTTAAGAAAGGCCATGCTGGAACCTCCAGGCTGAGCAACTGAGCTACCCTAAACACAAGATCCAAAGTCACAAACCTAGACTGATAATAGTTAATTAGCTAGACAGAGAGACAATTGAGAGAGAGAGAAGCAGATGGATAGATAGAAACATAGATAAGAAATAGATGATAGGTAGAAAATGGATGCATAATTAGATAGATAAAAAGATTGATAGGTTGATTGATTGACAGACCATACAGAATAAATAGATAATAATAGATAGATGATAGTAAATAATGATAGGAAGGTAGGTGGATGGATAGGTATAGATAGATGGTGGATGACAGACAGAATTACAGTTGACCCTTTAACAACTTGAGTTTGAACTGTGCAGGACCACTTCTAAGTGGATTTTTTTCAACCAAACACAGATAGAAAATACAATATTCCAGGCCAAGTGTGATGGCTAACACCTGTAATCTCAGCACTTTGGGAGGCCGAGGCAGGAGAATCGCTTGAGCCCAGGAGTTCAAAACCAGTCTGGGCAACATAGTGAGGCCTCATCTCTACTAAAAATTGAAATAGAAAAATTAGCCAGGCTTGGTAGTGCGTGACCATAGTCCCAGCTACTTGGGAGGCTGAGGTGGGAGGATTCCTTGAGCCTGGGAAGTTGAGGCTGCAGTGAGCTGAGATTGTGCCACCACACTCCAGCCTGGACAACAGAGTAAGACACTGTCTCAAACAAACAAAAAGGAAAAAAAGGAAGGACAGAAGGAAGGGAGAGGCAGGGAGGGAGGGAAGGAGGAAAGAAGAAAGGAAGGAAATATACTATTCCAGGGTTTGAAACCCGAATACACAGAGGGCTGACTTGATGGGCAGATTCCACAGGGCTTACTGTGGGACTTGAGTATGCACAGATTTTGGTATACACCGGGGTCCTGGAACCAATCCCCCATGTGTGCCATATTCTAGATACAATGTAGACTTTTCACAATGTTTATGTTCAGGTGGTCCTTCTCCGGGAGATCCTCCCTGACGCTGCCTACCTCTCCCACTCCTGCTCTGCCTCCCTTCCCCTCGACCCCGTAGTCCTCCATTGCTATCTAATAGAAAATCATTCTACTGGCTCCTTGTTTTTCAAAGTTTTGGTTTGTCACGTTGGCATAAACATATATTTGGAGTTACAACCTTATATTTTACCTTAGTGGATGGTTGATTCTAAATATTATTTTGAAACACTTACTACACCCAAAGTACTGTCCATGGCATATATACGTTATAAAGAATAAAAGAAAATGAACAGCCGTGATCTTTTGCCACCCACAATAAGAACTGGAACATCTGGCCGGGTGCAGTGTTCACACCTGTAATCCCAGCGCTTTGGGAGGGTGAGGTGAGAAGATCTCTTGAGCCCAGGAGTTTTAGACTAGCCTGGGCAACATAGCAAGACCACATCTCTATCAAAAAAAAAGAACTAGAACACACCTAGAATAGCATCAAGGCATGCTGTTATCTGCCGGGGGAGGTAGCGGGGAGCTGGGTGAATGTGAGGGGATGGAGCATGGCGAGAGGGAGGTTGGGTTGCTGGATCAGGAGAGCAACTGCAGTATGGGGTCCCTGAGAACCCGAGAGGCACAGGGTTCTCCCCTGCAGTGAGCCGAGAGGGTGCCACTTCACTCCAGCCTGCTCCTCCCATAGTGCCCTCTGCTCTGCACCACCCAGACAGCCGAGCAATACACTGACCCGCAGAGGGCACTTCTCCCAGGCACAGCTGGGTGGCCAGCCCCATCCATCTGCCCAGGCCCAAGAGAGAAAAAAGCAATCTTGTTTTGTTGTGGAGTTTTTGTCTTTCTTTTAAATTGCATGAATAACATTGGCTTCTCAATCTCCCCCTGAAAAGCTCAAGGCATTTCTGGCTGAATACACGTGAGGTGTTGAGTTCTCAGGCCAGGAAACACTCATTTTCCTCAACTGGGCGAAGCTGAAACTGGGTGGAGAACTGGGAAAGGTCAGCCCACAGCAGAGGTTACTGTATCAGACTCCTGCTAGCCTGGCCGCCCTGAAGCTGAAAGCAGACACCAAGTCTCTCCTTATCTTTGTATCTTCTGCATGGCACAAGGTCTGCCACCCTAGAGGCACTTGGTAAAGTTTGCTGAACAAATGATCCTGCAGGCTCCAGTCATGTCACTTCCTAGTGGCATCTCCCAAAGCCGACCAACAGATGCATTAGAAACCAATCCTTCTGTGCCCCAGCTAAGGCTGGGGGTGGCTTGTACTCTGCTGGTGACATCTCCCAGAAAGCCAGAACCAGGGCGATTCGGAAGTAGCTTTCCCAATGTTCGGCCCTGGTGAGTCTCTCTTGCCTGTGTAAACAGCCAGAAAGGGCCATATTGCAATGTCCTAAGCCCAGTGGCACACGGTGCTTTCCAGAAATGTGAACTCAGAAACTGCCAAGCTGAGCGTGATGGGCTCTTAGGTTCCAATGACATTGGTGTTGTCTACTGAAAACAAATGAATCTGGATAAAGCTGATTTGGATAAATGGATCTTCCCAGATATCTGCTTACACAGGCAACATCTGAGACACTGTCAGGCACACACCAGACACAGCCCACGCTCAGTGTGGGCAAAGGAATGCATCCAGGAGTCTGGTACGGCACAGATAGCACAGATAAAATAGGGTTTGATGTTTGACTTCACTTTTTAGTTTTCCTCCAGATGTGTGTTAACATAAAGACACAGCTGGGAAGTTCAGCAGGTCAGTCAATAAATCTTGAAAATGCAAGGTAATTTAAAGCAAATGGAGCCACCACGGACATACCGCTATCTGTGTAATTAAGCTGAGTCTGGGTTGGGGCTGCAGAGGCGATTTCTAACCACCCTCCCCAGTACTGCCTCACTACTTGGGCGGCAGTTATGAAATGTCTGCTCGCCCAGCCCATGCTGACACTGATATATGCAGCCTCAGTCCTCTGGAAAGGGAGTTGCTGGAATTCACAGAGCTGAGGCATCATGCAGCCATATGTCTCGAACCCAAGTAAGCATATCCTATAACAGTGCCAAGAAGGCAACCGCTGTGTATGATAGACTGGGCAAGAGAAGAGCAGGCAAGGGAGGCAGAAGGGGAGGAGAGAGGTATTTGTTGGTGTCCTGTCTATTTTTAAACAGGTAGAAAAGATGTGGCCACATCTGAAACTCCCATGTCCCCTTCTGACACCGAGTTTTCCTATTTGCTGTGAAATAGCAATGAAAATTGTGATTTATGGCTTTCATTTTGCAGGAGACTGCTGGCTATTAGCCGCCATTGCCTCCCTTACGCTTAATCAAAAAGCGCTGGCCAGAGTCATCCCCCAGGACCAAAGCTTTGGCCCTGGTTATGCCGGGATATTCCATTTCCAGGTAAGAGGGAGCTCTGGGCAAGTGGGTTTACCTCTCTGGGGTCCAGCATGATGCCAGGTGCATTTCCACACTGCCTAGTAACCCTGGAAAAAAATGTCATCAGATCTGTGTGACATATGGTCCTAAACCATGCTAAAGCCACATTTTATCACGGAATAACAGCTAAATGCCTCAGAAGAACATTAACGGCATTGCACGGCAAATCCTTATGGAACATACATGTAAAACTGTAAGTGATGTTTTGGCAAATCTGGGGTCCATATGTTAAGGGTTTTATTATTTGGAATTTCCTGTGCTTTAAGCACAAATTGACTAAACTGATTATGCCTCCAGGAAACTGGTTGATTTCTCATAAACACAGAGGTTCTCCTTATGGAAGAAATGTGAATTTGGACATCTTGAGGGATTTTAAAAAATAAAAACTGAGAAAAATACAGACAACATCTGCTGGAGTCCCGTGTGACCCACAGACCCTCAACCGAGGTGCACATTGGGTGAGGCTTGCCCCCCGGAGATGGTTTCCTGCTCCTTCACCTCCACTTTCTATCTCTCCACTCTCTCCCCCACCCTTGTCCTTATATAGGGTTCGACCAGATACTGAAACTTGCCCCTTGTACTTACTTAGGTGGGTGACCTCAGGCAGTTTTCTTAGTGACACTAAGCCTTTCTACACTCATCTGAAGAAAGGAGAGACTGACTGTTCCCTGCAGGCTTCCCGTAGAGCTAAATGGCATCACACACAGGAGCCAGCACAGAGCCAGGCACCAAGTAGGCATTCCTTGACCTTGCACCCCGGACAGTGTCACCTTCTCCTGACTCACAGGCCACCACTCAGGGCCAGCCCGTTGCTTCTGTCCCTGAGGCCTGCATGCTGATAAACAGAGGTACTCTCAAGCCCTGTCACCAATGGCACAGAAGCATTTCAAAGGCACGGACAGCGAGCCGACCACGTGTCGCTCAGGAGCATGCAATTCCCAGGGGTCGGGCCTCTTGTGCTGGCGGGGATGGGGGTGGGGGGAGGCGGACAGAGACACTTTGGGTCCCAGGGAAACTCTACCCCTGCTCTCTCACAGACCTGCCACCGCCTGGCTGTCTCCCCTCCCCTCCTGTGACTTCTGCTGAGACCACAGTCTTGGCTTGATGGCACCCCCAGGAGCTGGTCTTTCTCCAGTCCTCTTGAGCACACCAGGGTGGCAGTGTTGGGGGTGGTTAAGCTCAGAAAATCCAGCAGAACTACTGCCTCTAAACCGGAACCATCATCATCTGATCTTGGGCTCCCAAGGGACCAGTGTTCTTGTCCCTTAAATGTCACAGCTGGGAGGATCCTTGGCAATCCCCTGACCCAGTACTTTCATTGACCCCCAAGGACATTGAGTCCCAGGGAGTGGAAGTGGTTGATCCAGGGTCACAAAACAACAAATAGCCAAGCCAGACTTCTAACTCGGGGGTTTGGTATCCAGCATCCTTTTGTGCTGCCAGGGATCAGGTAGTGGGGAGGAATGAACCTGTTGGTGCCTGTCAGTCCCACAATAACCATACTCTGCCCGCTCCCCTCCTTGGCCTCCTAGGAAGCAGAGCACTGGAAATAAATCCACCTCCTTCACACTCCTCTTCCACCCCTCAGCCACAGTACAGGTGTGTGGGTGCTAGGAAGTTAGCGGAGCTCTCGGGGCTGGTGGATACATCTCTCTTGACTCACAGGCCTCCTGAGCCAGCCCCTCTGCAAGGAAAGCCAGCACTGAGGCTCCTCCCCACCCCTCCCCTGCTCAGGAAGCCCAGGGCCCAGGCCTGGACTTTAAACACCTAACCCAACTGTGCCTCAGTCCCACCTGAAGCTGTGGATAGCCCCAAGAATGGGAAGCCCCGGAGGGGAGGCCCAGCTGGAGCAGGTGACAGGAATCTTCCTTAAAACACACACACACACACGTACACACACACACACACACACACACACCCTCAGCCACACTGTGGCCAACTCTTTTGATTGGGATTGAATCACTGATGCAGCAAGATGCTCAGGATGACACAGCAAATCTGTAAATAAATGGCTCCCAAAAGCACTGTGCCTACCCTCCTCTTTCGACCTCTATCTTCTTACTCTTAGAGGTTACCTTAGGATCGCTCTCAGGCCAACTGAACCAGAAGGAATGGGGAGGAGGTGGGTCACTGCAGGATACACAGAGAAACTACACATGGTCCTTGACTCGTTCCAACCTTCCTTCCTGTTCCCAGCAGACCACACACAAGCTCACACACATGCATACATGTGCTCAAGCACACATGTGTGTAGAAGCACTTGCAAACACATGTGTGCATACACACACGCAAACATGCATGTGCTTGCATGCACACTTGCACACATGTGAGCAAACACATGCTTGCACACATGCAATGTATAAATAAACCACAGAGTGCACATACTTGTCATGCCTGCCTGCATGCACATGTATACACATGTGTGCACACATATGCATTCACACACAGCCACGCTCTCCTCACGCCTCCTCACCTGGCACACAGGAGATACTGAGTCCACCTGTCTCCTGTGTGAATGGCCAACAAATCAGTCTTAGGGGCTCCACTTATGGGCCAGGAGGGAGCAAGGTTAAGGCAAATTGGAGCTAAACCCTGAAACTGGGTGGGAGAGAATAACGGAGAACTGGACTGCAAAACAGCAAACCCAAACCCCACAATACATTCTCCCTGCCCCAAAAAAACAACTTTCTTGTGAAGAAGAAAAACTAATTCAGAGCACGGTAGAGTGCCTACTTGTGACTCCTGTTCTGCCTCCCCCTCGCCCGCGGCCTTGATGGGTTGACCCTGAGTCTTTGAGCTGATGTCGGTGTTTGGTGCTGGGTACAATGCTCAGCTTGTCACTTAGCGGACAAAGCCCAGATGCCCTACCATGGAACCCATGTGTGATTTTCAAAGCTGTCTTTGGGTAGCTTGGTCAGAGGGGAAAAAAGCAACAGGATCAACATTTACAAACAGGGCCTGGAGCGCCCATGTAGCTGACTCCCATCATTTCTGTCTTTTTCCTGGGCAACAGTTCTGGCAGCACAGTGAGTGGCTGGATGTGGTGATCGATGACCGCCTGCCCACCTTCAGGGACCGCTTGGTTTTCCTCCACTCTGCTGACCACAATGAGTTCTGGAGCGCCTTGCTGGAAAAAGCCTACGCCAAGTGAGTGACAGCTTCCCCAGCTCGGGCAGCCTCCCGACAGGAGTCTCTCCACTGGCCTTTGGGCATCTAAGGGCTGGGAAAAAAACAGGGCTCTGGGTTTGCAGGTGAGGCTCGGCAGGACCCAACCCTCTCAGGGCTCAAGAGGGGTTGGAGGTGGTTTTCCTGTCATGGCCTAGGTGTGCCCATCTTTGGGAACGATGGCTACATTCATGACCCTTTGTCCCCCTGGGTCATGAATCTGGCCTTTGGAAGAGCTGGGAAGGCAAGCGGAGGGGAATTCTGGCTGTGCCGACAGCACTTAGTGCTTCAGACTTCTCTCGGACACTGGCATGGCTCAAACATCTGGGCTGTCACCCACATAGATATAGAGACATCGATTGTCCATCCTACAGGATGCTGCTTTTTTATTTTTAAAAAATCGTGATAAAATGTATATGATATAAAATTTTTTATTGTCTATCCTACAGGATGCTTCTTGTTTTTAAAAAATCGTGAAAAAATGTATATGACATAAATTTTACCATTTTTAAGTGTGCAGTTCAGTGGCATTAAGTACATCCACGTTGTTGTGCAGCCATCACCACCATCTATCCCCAGAAATTTTTCATCTTGCAAAACTGAAATTTTGTCCCTATTAACCAATAACTTCCTCTTCCTCCCTTCCCCCAGCCCCTGGCTATACCACTCTACTTTCTGTTTTTATGATTTGACTAGTCTAGGAACCTCATATAAGTGGAACTAAGACATTCATTTTTAATCACCAGCCAAATGGCCTCAGTTTCCTCAGGCTGTCAATTTCTAGCCCACTAGCTTGTTTGTGAAAGGCCACAGGAGCCTGAATTCGATCCACAGATGATGGCAGAGCTCCTGGGAGCCACTTTCAGGTTCAGCCTGGATCTTCAAGCCATGAGAATCCTATCCCCAGAGACAGAAGCAAGGATGGCCTTGCTTCTACCTCCAAGTGGGGCATGAAAGTGGTAAAAATAGAGTGAAGGCATACTGTGGTTAAATTAATCCTGCATTCAGCAGGACAGAATTAAAGCCATCAAAGAAGAACCAAAGATGCCCACGCTTGCCCTCTGTCCCACCTAGGTCTGTGCAAACACCATCAGTGCCACTAGACTGGCCTAAGGGGACACAGGGCACTGTTTCTGAGTCCAGTGGGTGGAACCCAAGCCCAGCTCTGCCCTCTGGTGAGTGCCCCACACAACAGGATGCAAGCAAGGCAACAGAAACTGTGCATCATCTAGTTTCAAAACATAAAAAAGATTTACTGGGGTCCTTTAAAAAGGCCAAAAATGGTTGGCAGAACAGTTCACCAAAAAAAAAAAAAAAAAAAAAAAAAAAAAAAAGAGAGATGTATAGATGGTATTATGGTTAGTTTTATGTGTCAACTTGATTGGGCTAAGGGATGCCCAGATAGCTGGTGAAGCATTATTTCTGGGTGTTTCTGTGAGGATGTTTCTGGAGAAAATAGCTTTTGAATCTGTAGACTGAGTAAAGAAGATTGCTGCCACCAGTGTGGAAGAGCATTTTTCAAATTGTTAAAGATCCAAATAAAAGAAAAAAACAAGGGAAGGGTGAATTTCCTCCCCTACTTCAGCTGGGACATCCATATTCCCCTGCCCTTGGACATTGGAGCTCCTGGTTCTCAAACCTTTGTACTCAAACTTGGACTTATATCATCAACCCCCTGATTCTCAGGCCTTCAGACTCAAACTGAATGATACCACCAGCTTTCCTGGTTCTCCAGTTTGCAAATGGCAGATTGTGAGATTTCTTGGCCTCCCTAACTATGAAAGCCAATTTCAAATGTATGAAATAACCTCACCTAAGGGGTTGGAAAGAAAGGTGCTGACCTAAGTAACTTTGGAAATTAGTGGAGTCTGTCAGATTAAAAGCAAAAGAAATTGTACATGAGTGCTGTGCTCTAGTTGCTAAAGTGGTTTCTCGAAGGAGTACAAATGAAAATTGATCTAATTATACACACATACTGAGTTGAACAATCGAGTGAATGGAGGGTGGACGGCAGGAACTGAGTTTCTCACTGTTGGATTGAGAGGTTACAGATAGGCAAGGGGAGGAGGCCAGAATGATCCATGCAGATTAGAGTTGGAGATTCCAGAATGAACTTAGATTTAGCTTAATAGAGATGGTTACGTAGAGATACATGGATCTATACATGGGTTATCATACACATATATATAGATCTATACTTGGGTTATCATACACATATATATTTCTTTGCTTTGTCAGTGAGAGGAGCTAGAAGCAATGTCAATCCTGTAGCAACAAGCACACCTAGGTCTCAAGTCTTGGTTTCTAAGATCATTCTTCAATCAAAGGAACTAGGGCTTCTTGGAGATAAGGCAGATTCTAGGACTGGGGCATACACACATACACACATATATATACACACATACATACATATATGCATACATACGTAAAATGAGCCTAGATCATCTTATAGTGCCAGAAAGTGAGAATACATGCAAGACACACACACACACAAATAAGGCTATGCCAAAAGGACACAAGAGCATGCTGAAGGAGCTCCAAACAGCCAAAGCTAGAAGAATTCAACCAACAAAACAGACAAAGCAGTACTGGATTATGAACCCAAGTAGAGGCCGGGTGCCGTGGCTCACACCTGTAATCCCAGCACTTTGGGAGGCCGAGGTAGGTGGATCTCCTGAGGTCAGGAGTTCAAGACCAGCCTGGCCAACATGGTGAAACTCCGTTTCTACTAAAAATACACTAATTAGCCGGGCATAGTGGTAGATGCTTGTAATCCCAGCTACTCGGGAGGCTGAGACAGGAGAACCACTTGAACCCAGGAGGTGGAGGTTGCAGTAAGCCAAGATCACACCATCGCACTCCAGCCTGGGCAACAGAGCAAGACTCCATCTCAAAAACAAAAACAAAACAAAATAAGAAAACACAAAATAAACCCAAGTAGAAAATAAATATCAATGGGTCCATACTACCTTGAGTAAATGATTGTATAAATAAATGCGGAAGAAGGAACAAATATCCTGTGTAGAATAATTCCAAAAAATTATGCTTATATTCCATCTTTGAGAGGTGGAGCATAACTCCCTAATTTTTTCATGCGGGTTGCACATAATGATTCCTTCCAAAGAGTTCAGTATGGAAAGGGGAGAGAAGGAGCAACTTTCCAGGGGAGAAACCTGACTAACACTACCTTAGCCAGGTGATCAAGGCCAGCATCAGCCGTGGTAAGGCGTGTGGACAGCAGGTACCCTTGATATGATGAGATGAGAGGGGAGCTTTACCTCTCTGGTCTTCCTTCCACTAACCAATAGCTCTACTCTTTATTATTATTATTATTATTATTATTATTAACTTTTTTTAGAGACAACGTCTTGCTCTCTCACCCAGGCTAGAGTGCAGTGGCACCGTAAGAGCTCACTGCAGCCTGGAACTCCTGGGCTCAAGTGATTCTCCTGCCTCATCCTCCGAAAATGCTGGGATTACAGGCACCAACCACCACACCCAGCTATTTTTTTTTAATTTTTAAAAATGTTTCATTTTTTATTTTTATGGATGCATAATAGTGTACATATTGATGGTGCACATTTGATATTCTGATTACAAGTGCACAATGTGTGATGATCAAATCAGGGTAATTGAGACACTCATCACCTCAAGCATTTATCACTTCTTTAATAGCCCTAGTCTTATCACGAGAAAAAACATTAGACAAATTCTAATCCTGCAGTATGCCTGCCCAGGACTCCTCAAAACCATCAAGGTCATCAAAAACAAGGACAGTCTTAGAAACTGTCACAGCCACGAAAAGCCTGAGGATACGTGAGGACTCAGTGCAATGTGGGGTCCTGAGTGGGATTCTGGAACAGAAAAAAGACACTAGGTAAAAACTAAGGGAGCCCAAATAAGCTGTTAATTATTAAGTCCGTTTTCACACTACTGATAAAAACATACCCGAGACTGGGCAATTTACAAAAGAAAGGCATTCAATTGGATTCACAATTCCACGTGGCTGGGAAGGATTCACGATCATGGCAGAAGGCAAGGAGGAGCAAGTCACATCTTACGTGGAAGGTGGCAGGCAAAGAGGGGTTGGGCAGGGAAATTCCCGTTTTTAAAACCATCAGATCTGATGAGACTCATTCACTATCACAAGAACAGTGCAGGAAAGACCCACCTCCCTAATTCAATCACCTCCCACCAGATTCTAAAATTCTAAATCGAAAAGCTTATTTAACAATCAAGCAGAGCACATATATGTAAAATGCCTATGAATAAAAGAGATGACTATGAAAGAAAATGGTTAGGAGTATGTGAGACCAGAGAAGAGAAAGGGCCTCTCTCTGTCCACATAGTCAGGCCCCGCTCCATTCCATGGAAGACTGCAGAGTAAGACACACGCATTTGAACCTCACAGCAGTCCTAGAAGAGAGAGCACAACTCTCCCCCATTTTGCATATAAGAAAACTAAGGCACTGAGTGACCTGGTCATTCAGATGGTAAGTCGTAGAACTAGGATTTGAACCTGCAGCCACTCAGGCACCAGGGCTGCTGCTCTACACCACCACACCACACTGCCTCCCTTGCAGGAAGCTCAGGATCTTTGGCTTCCTCAAAGGTCCAAGCAAACCCTGATGCTTGCTTCCCGTCTTCCTTCCACACCACCCAGCCAGGACAAACCCTGGGAGATGCTTCTGGCTTAGTTAGAAAAGCTCTGACTGCAAGGTGCCCCCGGTGGCCTCCCTAGGTCCCTGACTGTCTCCTCTCTCTCCTGCCGCCCTTGCAGGCTAAATGGGAGCTATGAAGCTCTGAAGGGAGGCAGCGCCATAGAGGCCATGGAAGACTTCACCGGGGGTGTGGCAGAGACCTTCCAAATGAAAGAGGCCCCCGAGAACTTCTATGAGATTCTAGAGAAAGCTTTGAAGAGAGGCTCCCTGCTGGGCTGCTTCATTGATGTAAGTCTCTCATGAGCTCCCATTCCAGGCAGTATGCTGGGGCTGCAGTCTGCACCTGGTACCCCAGCCACACCTAAGAAGCGGCATAACTCTTGGGGGACAGTGTTTATTCCCGCTAATTAAAACACAAATTTTAACCAGGCATGGTGGTGTGTGTCTGGAGTCTGAGGCAGGAGGATCCCTTGAGCCCAGGAGTTTGAGGCTGCAGTGAACTATGATCGTGTCACTGCTCTCCAGCCTGGGTGACAGAGCAAGACCCTGTCTCTAATAAACAAATAACAAATAAAACACAAGTTTTTATTTAATGATTGTCAAATGACAAAGGTAAGATGCACTTGCTGTATCAGATGGAACAATCCTGAGACCCATACAGGCGCATTGTTACCTCCCTCCCACCCGTTTCTCAGCTGCCTCTGTTCTCCAGCTCCACCCTGGGACTGGGATCACCTGGCCTGTACCCTTCCCAGCTCTCTCTCTGCTCGTACAGACAGGCACACACGTCCACACACAAACATCAAGGTCAGTCGGTTTGATTTTACTGAAATGGGATCTTTCTATCTAGTTTTCTGAAGTTTGTTTTTTTTTTTTTTTCATTTCCTATACTATGAAAAAATAGCAGATAGAAGTCTAATGGTGTTTTAACACACACATTTATAATTTCATCTCATCTTTTTAAAATTTTTTTGTTGTTTTTTATGGACTGCTATGACACTGTGTATTTTTTTTTTTTTTTAAATCAATTCTAGTTTTCTGCTTCCTCTTAGATTAGCCATGGGGTCTGTTTTTCGCTAATGAATTAGCCAGTTCCTCTGCACTTTCAGGTTTGTGACGCAGAGCTGTGTGTCCTATTGTTATATGCTTCTTTTCATCTCTGGGATGTATGTGATTGTGTCTTCTCTCTCACACTATACTACATGAAGGTGACAAGTTGTTCTGTTTGGGGACACAATAGTGAAGTGTTCATTGCAGTCCACGCTGGGAAGGAGCGCCTCCCCATCCTGGAAAGAGACTGGAACTTGCTGCATTTCACTGCTAAACATCCTAGGGGAGTCCCGTGCATAGCCCACGCACATGGCCTGCACCTGGGGCAGCAGAAGGGGCTGGAGGTTGTGACCAGGCCAGGCCTGTAGCCGGGTCTGATCCAGCAGGGGAGGCTTGACTTAGATGGTGGGTGTGACTCTGCTCTTGCCGTGTTTTAGACCGGAAGTGCTGCGGAATCTGAGGCCCGGACGCCGTTTGGTCTTATTAAGGGTCACGCCTACAGCGTAACGGGAATTGACCAGGTAGGTGACTTGAATTCCAACCGCAGGGTGAGGGGAGATGCGTGATAATGCTAGTCCCTTAGGCATTTATTCAGTGTGTTGCAGTTTAAATGTCTGCCTTTCAGACATTTCAGGGATTATGTCACCTAAAGAGTCAGGCTGGAATTCAAAACGGCAAGCCAGGAAAGAGAGAAGCCGTGTGATTCCACCGCAGCACAAAACTCGTTTAGCAGGTGGAAGCGCCTGGTGGAAGCGCCTGGTCTTTGTTTATTTTTAATTTCCTTTCTTTCCCAATTCTCCATCAGTCCTGTGTTAGTCAGGATTCTTCAGAGAAATGGAATCACTAGGGAACCAAATATACGTACATACAATTAAACACACGGACATTATCTATCTATCTATCTATCTATCTATCTATCTATCTATCTACATCACACAGTGGACCCTTGAACAACACAGGCTTGAACTTATGTGGGGATTTTCTTCCATTTCTGCCACCCCTGAGACAGCAAGACCAACTCCTCCTCTTCCTGATTCTCAGTCTACTCAATATGAAGATAATAAGGATCAAGACCTTTACAACAATCCACTTCCACTTAATAAACAGTAAATGTATTTCCTCTTCGCTATGATTTTCTTGATAACACTTCTTTTCTCTGGCTTGTTTATTGTAAGAATATAGTATACAATATAAATAATTATAAAACATGTGTTAATTGGTTCTTTATGCTATCAATAAGACTTCTGGTCAATGGTAGGCTATTTGGAGTTAAGTTTTAGGGAATACGATATTTTTTGACAATGCAGGAGGGTTGGCGCCCCAACCCCCCACATTGTTCCAGGATCAACTGTAATATGATTTATTGTAAGGCATTGGCTCATGCAACTGTGAAGAGTGAGAGGTCCCATGATCTGCTGTCTGCAAGCTGGAGGCCCAAGAAAGCCAGTGTCATAGTTCTGGTCTGAGTCTGAAAGGAAGGCCTAGCAACCAGGAACACCGATGGTAAAAGTCCCAGTCTGAGGGCAGGAGAGATTGATGTCCCAGCTCAGGAGCCCAGGCAGAGAGAGGGAATTCCCCCTTCCTCTGCCTTTTTGTTCTAGTCAGGTCTTCACAGATGAGATGAGGCCCACCTATACCAGGGAGGGCAATCTGTTTTACTAAATCAACTTAAATCTCATGTCACCCAGAAGCACCCTTGCAGACACAACCAGAATAACCTTGAAGCAAGTATCTGGGCACCCCATGGCCCAGTCAAGTTGACACATAAAATTAATCACCACAAATCCCATTCTCTGTAGCTGTAGCCCAGGTGGAACTGATTCCGAGAACACCCAGACTCCACACAGCACCACCCTGACTTCGAGGGAGTGGTTGATTAGGAGGAGAGATCCTTGAGGGGAAGAGAAATAAGGAGTAGGATGAAAGAGGAAGACACGAAGCCAAAGGTATCACTCTCCCAGACTCAAGCTCAGCAAAGCCCAGAAGCCTGCCTTGCCCACTCCATACCTCCCCTGGACCAGTCTCAAGCCCAGCACTTAGAAGGCACAGGTGCCCCTGGTCTTCTGTAGCCACCCACATGTTGAGTGATATCCGCTGAATGTATGGGGAGTAAAGAACACAGAAGGGAAGCCCTGCCCTTCCTCCTCACTGGAGCCAAGGTGTGAGATGCGGTTGGACTCTTTGGGATCCTTTAGAATGTTAGCTATTTGTGTTGGTTCCTTTGTCCTCCTTCCCCGTCCATACATGACTTGCAGGTCGGTCACTCAAGTGGGCATGTGATTTTCTAGCTTAGATCTTCTACGTATTCCACGTAACAACAGAAACCTCCCATCATCTTGGTTTGCTTGATTTTGCTTCCTCTGCCTCTACAAGGAACTCACCTGCCCTGAACCTTTCAAATTAAATGAGCCCCTTAAATGGTGAGCCACAAGCCACATCTTGGACTCTGAAGAGTTGATGTTACTTGAATTTTTACACATCCAGAATATAATTTATGCCAAATGCATGAGGACAGAATGTTCTGACTGCTACAGCTTCTGGTTAGTCAATAACTAGAAGTCTTTTACTTTCACTCTCTCTCCTCCAAAACCCTTCTCAAATGCATTGACCCTTGTCTCTGCTCCCAGGCAGAGCCTGAGGGTACACTGGCTCAAGGATGGTTGAGGTAAACAGCAGGAATCCTCATAGATACCTGAAACAAGGAGAATGTTGGGTTTTGAAGATGTAAAAGCTCTTTTTGTTTATTGTTTTGTTTAAATTCCCAGCATGTGCTTATTTTCTTATCATTCATCTGTGCATGGGATGCTAGGATGAAGAAAGTTCAGTAATAGTTCCATGAGCCTCTTTGAGGACTACTTTTTACCATTCACTCTACTAGATGTTGAAGATGCCTAAGGCTTGGCTCCTGCCTCTAGGGAGATCCCAGTCTAGAGAGAAACCCATCCATTTCTAGATTCACATGGACTAATTTCTTGTTAATTACAATTCCACTTTACTTCCCAGATGTGGCATAAGCATTTTGGTGCCTAATATAATATCATTGGCAATAGTAGCAATTATTCAATAGGAATTAGAATGTTCCAAGGGCTGGGTAAGAACTGGCAAACTTTTACATACCTTCAGCAGCGTTTTAAGCAAGAGACTTTCAACAACCAGTCCTGGATGGAGCTGGTCCACCTGGAGCTCATGGATGAATGTGGTCAAACCTCTACCATGTTTATCATTTCACACTTCCCTCATGCTTTTCTCTTCTAGGTAAACTTCCGAGGCCAGAGAATTGAGCTCATCCGAGTCCGGAACCCTTGGGGCCAGGTTGAGTGGAACGGGTCATGGAGCGACAGGTCAGTCACCCCATCCCGCCTCTCTGGCTGGTTCCCTGGGCGTGTGGGGCCAGAGCTGGTTTGTGCAGACATGTGAAGGAGTGACCTGTCTACCACCCTCCCGGGCTCTGACTCAGGGTCCTGTCCCGATTCTGGGGTGGCCCTTCTTCCTCCCCTTTCAGCCCTCAGGCCCACCTTGCATCAAGCTTGATTCTCAAGAAAGACTTACAACAGTACTCTAACTTTCACGAATTGTATTTATGTCAATACATAAATGTGTTACTTCCCATGGTGATGTTTATAACCCAGTGATATGGTGAAAAGCTTTATCTGTAGTTGTGAGTAGCTCCAGTAAGCAGCGATCATGTGCATGCGCGCCTGTGTGTTTGTGTGTGTGTGTGTGTGTGTGTGTGTGTGTGTGTTTAGAGTATGGGAATCCCTGAAATATTACCTAGTGTGTAACTATAGGATTCTCTCTGATGGTCACTAACCATGGCAGAGGACCAATAGGCCAGCAGAGAAATAGAAGTGGGACTGAGCGTGGTGGCTCATGCCTATAATCCCAACACATCAGGAAGCCGAGGTAGGAGGATCACTTGAGTAGGAGAGGTTGAGGCTGCAGTGAGCTGTGATTGCACCACTGCATTCCAGCCTGGGCAACAGTTAAGACCCCATCTCTTAAAAAAAAAAAGGAAGTGGAATTGGATTTTCGTTTATTACAGAGCTGTTAACCAGAGTTTTGGTCTCCCAGTTACCAAGAAAGGTCTGCCTTTTCTGTGTGTGTCCCCACAGCTCCCCCAGCTCTGGTCCCTTGGGAGGTGACTGGGAACCAGGGATGTTTGGGTGGGTGCATGGCAGGGCCCGCCTGAAGCTGTTGCTCCTCCTCTGCTTGTTGGGCTCCTGAAGGCCTTTCTTGCCACACCCATGGCCCCTGAGCTTCTGGGGAAATCTGAAGCTAGTCTAGAACTTGGTTAAAACTGAGCCAGGGTTTGTCTTCAGTCCAGACACAGCTACCAGGTCACCAGGCATGGTGCAGCTGCTGCTCTGTTAGCCAGACCCCAGTGTGAGGGCAGAGCACACAGGCGTGTGCTCTCCAGGCTGTCATCGCCCCCGTGGAGGTTCTCATCCCACCATCCTCTGCTCTGGCTTTGGCTGCCGCCTTCTGAGAACCAAGAAGCATTGGCAGAGATGAGCTGAGATGGGTTGAGGAGGAAAGAGGTTGGCCTCCCTCTCCTGGCAGAAAAGGAAAGCACAGAGAAATATTGAAACCAAAATTAGTGAGACTACATCATGTAAGATGTGCAGTGCCCCTCAGCTTTGAAATAGTAGCCTATAAAGGGAAAATGGGCCAGTTTCTCCCATTTCCTGGGACTCACGGAGGTAGAAATAAAGAAAGTGCATTCTGACTGGGAGCCAAGGCTGGAATGAAGTTTGTCTTCCACTCATGCAGCCTCCATGGATGATGCACGGGGCAGGAGCCATCCTGACCCCCTGACTTCGCTGTGCTGCTGGTGACATGTGAGTAGGGTTGAAGGCGCCATATGGCCAGCCTGTCAGGCCAATTACCTGGGTGTAAGCCACTTAAGATAATGGCTCCAAAAGCAAATAATGACTGCCAGTTCCACTCTTCTGATCCTGGCCCGAGCACCTGGAGACAGATTCTCCCCTTGGATCTCCAGAGCACTCCACTGATTTTGAGTCAAGATCACAGGATGAGAGGGAGCTGCTACATTGGCTGTAGCACCACAACAGTGGTGACATACTTTGAACTATTTGGAGGTGACTATGGGGGTCACAGAAAATGCAATGAACTTGGAGTCACAAATCCTGAGTTTGGAGAGTGATAGGCAGCTACTCCCACCCCCACTCTTCCCTGAGCATGTGTCCATGGGCCTACCTGAGCCCTTTTGTCTGCAGGATGGGCACACATAGCTCACAGAACCCCACGTGGCTTGCTAGCGAGGTCACATACAGAAGGTGCCCAGTACAGACAACATCAAGCATGGGCAAGTGTAAGGCATTATCACCTTTCCAAGTGTCAGCTTATCCACTAAGGAGAGGCCAAGCACTGCTCCAGGTCACATGGCAAGTTGGAGGCCAAGAACGAAAGTCAGTGGACTTGTGGCTTCCAGCTCGGCTCTTCTGCTACCCTGTGGGCATGCAATGCCTTGTGACTGTCCCAAGATAATCTTCCATGTCGGTGGTTCAAATCATCCTCAGGGGTATTTTATCCATCAGCAGCACTGGGAGATGTACTTTCTGGCCAGCCCTCTTATTTGGGGGCCAGTGGCTCACTGGCCGCTGCATCCCTGGGTGCATTTCTGGGACCCAGTGAGTAGTCACTGAGCAGGACTTATTTCCTCCATAACCACACACTTTGGGTTCCACATTAAGGCCGTTGTTGCTCTTCATGACCTCTGCCTGAACACCAATTTTGTTTACTCCTAGTTCTCCGGAGTGGCGTTCTGTTCGTCCAGCTGAGCAGAAGCGTCTGTGTCACACTGCTCTGGATGATGGCGAATTCTGGTACAGTGCTTGTTCCTGTGTTAACTGCAGATACGAGCAAGTCCTATGGCCCAGGGGCATAAGGAGCACCATGTTTCTCTCTCTCTCTCTCTCTCTCTCACTCCAATTTTTTTTTTTTTTTTTTTGGAGACAGAGTTTTGCTCTTATTGCCCAGGCTGGAGTGCAGTGGTGTGATCTCGTCTCACTGTAACCTCCACGTCCCAGGTTCAAGTGATACTCCTGCCTCAGCCTGCCAAGTAGCTGAGAGTACAGGCATGTGCCACCACACCCGACTCATTTTGTATCTTTGGTAGAGATGGGGTTTCACCACATTGGCCAGGCTAGTCTCGAACCCCTGACCTCAGAGAAACCACCCACCTCAACCTTTCAAAATGCTGGAATTACAGGTATGAGCCACCTTGCCCAGCCTTCTCTCTCCGTTTTTGGCAAATCAAATTCATCCATCTCAGACCCCTCATATACACCCAGATTAGAGGGAAATTTAATCTCCCTCCTGTCTTGGTGGGGGCTCACCCCAGCTCTCAGTTTGTTGAAGAGTCTGCAGGGGGTTGCTGCAGTCCAATAGAGGAAGAGTGCCTGGTCTCCAGCCTGACATACCTCCTTGGTGCTCTGTGTCATCCAGGTTTACACAGTGAATTTGAAGACAGGCAGCTCTGCTGCTCATGGGGTCCATTCCCTCCACACCCACTTTGGTGAGAGGTACCTTTGAAGGCAGCTGCCCTGAGAGCATCTAAAGATATTGACCTACATGGGAAGGAAACATTTCTACTCTGGACTTTGCCTTGGCCTGAATCTCTTTGTTTAATTGAATATTTGTGTTGGGCCTTCACCTCTAAAATCTTTTTCAGGCTTATTTCTTCCTGTTTGGGATCTAGGAGTTGGCCCTTCTAACCCTGCAAGAAACAATTTCTGGTTTCTGGCTCTATTCCCCTTCATGTGCTCCAACCAGTCAATTCTTGCCTGAACTCATCTCTTCCTTGTAACAGCTTTTAAAATACAACAACCCAAAACCATAACTATTCCAGCCTTTTTCATTCTTTTCCCGTAGAACACAGCCTCAGTAGTGATTTGTTCTGCCTTCTGTATTTTTACAGTTGTCTTAGTCTATTTGGGTGGCTATAACAAAATACCACAGACTGGGTGGCTTACAAAGAACAGGAATTTATTTCTCACAGTTCTAGATACCAAGAAGTCCAAGATGATGACACAGGCAGAACCCATGTCTAGGGAGGGCCCTATTTCTGATTTATAGATGGATCCTTCTCACTGTGTCCCCACGAGGTAGAAAGAGGGCAGGGCGGCTCTCTGGGCCCTTCTTTATAATGGCACTAACCCCATCCATGAGGGCTCCACCCTCGCAACCTAGTCACCTCCCAAAGGCCCCACCTGCTAACACTATTATTTTGAGGGTTAGGATTCAACATACAGATTTAGGGGAGGCCACAAACATTCAGTCCATAACAACATGCAACAGATTTACCCAATGTTTTGCCACTGCATAACGTAGATATCCCCATTTTCCAGCTCCAACAGTTCCATGTTCCCTCTTGCCCAACTGCTAACGTATTTTAGAATTTTGTTATGGCAGTTCCATAATTCGAGGCACCAAAGACTCAAGGTAACACTAGCTGCAGTAGTGGAATAGGCCCCAGATGTATAAAGGCTCAAACACAGTGAAGTTTTTTTCTCACTCATTGTGATAGTCCAGGGAGGATGTTCATATTCTGTGGGTGACTCTGTTCATACAGTGATTCTATTGTGTGGCTCTGCCATCTTCTAAGGTCACATGGTCATCTGCACGTAGCCAACAGAAGAGAAGAATAAAATAAAAAATTGAAGAAGATACTCTCACTTTCTAAAAATCTTGACTCAGAAGTAAATGCATCACTGCTCACATTCTACTCCCAGATGGAAGGAGTGGGGTGCAGTCCCTAGTGCTGTGCTGGTGAATGCCAGCCGTCTCTGTCTCAAGAACCATGAGGGCCTAAGTTCCCCAGATTTGTGGGAATCGTGCAGGGTGCTTGAGAGATTCCCAAGCTGTCAAATTAGAAATTACAGATGAACTTTGAATTTTGAAGTACAGGGGACTTTGACTTAGGGGGTTACAAGAGAGGAGCAAAAACTGCAGGAAGAAAGCTGAGTTCTGGAATTAGTATCATCACACTAGTCAGTGCATATGAGCAGGAGGTAGAAACCAGAGTTTGAGAGGCTACCTGAGGTCAGGCTAGTGGAAGGAAGGTCTGATACAGAAGGTGGGAGAAGCCGGGCAGAGGAAACTCGGAAATTCACAGCAGGAGGCTCCGCAAAGAAGAGCGTCCATGTGAGTGATCCGTTGCCCTGACCCCCTTGAAGGAGCTGCCCCGACACCTGGGCTGAGCCTGCCCGAGGTAATGGGTGGTGTTAAATCATGCACTCTGTGCATGGAGCCCTTCCTCCTGGAATCCTGACTCTGAAACCCTGTGTAGCCTCTTTCCATCCTTCACCTGCTCTAGGATGTACCTCCTGCAGCTCTCTTCTCTCCCCTTATGTATGAATTCCCCCTTTCTTCTGGATCATTCACCTTAGCACTCCAACACTATCATTTCTCCTACCTGCAGAGAAAAGAAAGCCTCCCTTGATCCACTCAAGTGACCGACCCAGCTGTCTCCTCTCCTCTATAGCAAAGCCTGCCAGCTCCTCTTCTCCCTTACTCTCTCCACTCCACTCAGCTATGAGTGTACCCCACCATCCCACTGACCCTGATGTTGCCAGCGAGGCCACCCATTCTCACTTTACTCGATTGGATCATTTTGATCCATCAGGAGCCCTTGATGGTCCTCCACACGCCCTGGTGGTCCTCCTCCTACCTGAGCTCCTTCTCAACATCCTGTCCTGGCCCCCTCTCATCTTCCTAACCTGTTAGCACTGAGGTGTCCCAGGGCCCCATCTGTGGTCCCCCTTCTTGCTGTCTATTCTGACTCTTTAGGCGTCTCGTCTGGTCTCATGACTTTAAAAACTATCTTTACACTATTTCTCAGGTTTCCATCTTCAGCTCCTTTGCTCGGAATTCCAGAGTCACATACTCAACGGTCTACTTAACATCTCCCCTTGAATGTATAATAGACATCTCAGATTCACGTGCCCAAACCTGACCTCCTGAGCTTCTCTCTCAAACTGTCTCACCACAGCCTTCCCCATCTCCATCCTTCCAGTCACTCAAACCAAACATCCTGATTCCTTTCATTCTCTCCTTCCCCACATCCAGTCCGTTAGCAAATCCTGTAAGATTTGCCTCAGAATATGTCTCAAATCTGGCCACTGTTCCCACCTCCCATGCCACCAGCCTGGACCAAGCCACCCTTGTCTCTCACTTGGACACCAGCATTAACGTCCTGGCTGCCTCTCTACTTCCACCTGTGTCCCCAAAGTCTGTTCTCAACACAGCAGCCATGGAGCATGTGACTCCTCCATTTACTGCCTTCCAGTGGCTCTCCATCTTCTCAGAGTCAAAGCCAAAATCCCTATATCTACTTGACATACTGTGATCTCTTGATCTTACTCCTTACGGATGCCTCGTGCCTTCCTGGTGTTCCATGAGCACCTCAAGCACCTCTCTGCCTCGGGGCCTTGCTGTCCATCTGACTAGACCCCCAGCGAGCTGCTCTGCCCAGTACCTGGTAGTTCAGGTCTCCACTCAGAATGTGCCCCATCAGTAAGGCCTTCCCTTACCTCCCTGTTTAAAATAGGATCCCACCCTTACACTCCTATCCTTCAACCCAATTTGATTTTTCTCCGTAGCACTTAACATCTACAATAAATCTATATTTTTACCCCAGTTTTTACCTCTTCAACCTCTACTTTACTTTACTTTAAAAAATGTTTCCATCTCCCCACACTTTACAGTCGCCCCACTCCTTGTGGACAGGAACAAGATGATTTAATGAATAAGTGAATGATTTAATGAATGAGTGAATGGATGATGCCCTCACCATCACCCTCCTGTGCATCGTGTCTCTCCACTTTGTTGCAGGATGGCATTTAAGGACTTCAAGGCCCACTTTGACAAAGTGGAGATCTGCAACCTCACTCCCGATGCCCTGGAGGAAGATGCGGTCCACAAATGGGAGGTGACAGTCCATCAGGGAAGTTGGGTTCGCGGCTCCACGGCTGGGGGCTGCCGCAATTTCCTGGGTAGGTAGGCTGCCTGTCACTCTCTCTGCCACTCCCAAGTGTCCATTCCAACCCAGGACACCAAAGGATAAGGGCCGGGTCCTCAGAGAAAGCCTGAAACATAGTAAGATTTCAAAAGTGACTGGGAAAGAAGGCTGCAAAGATTTAGTTGGGTCAGAATTGTTTGGGGAAGCTCCTTTGTTTTACCACTTAGGTTATTTTCCATTGCAAGTAATGGAAAGCATGACTCATGCCAGTTTAGCAATAGAAAGGATTTATTATCTCACATAATTGAAGAGCTCAGAGGAAAAGTAGGGTAGGCTTCAGGCACAGTTCTATCAAGGCCCTGGTTCTATTTGCTTGTAATTCACTGCTCTGCCCTCTTTCCTGTGTTGACTTCTTTCTCTGTCTGGCTTTCGTTATAATCACAGGAGGGCTGGCAGCAGTATCCAGGGCTTCCTGAGCCCTCATTCACATGAACAGCAAGAGCTCCTGGGGTTATCAAACAAAAGTTCTCAATTTCCCTCTAATTGGAAATTCCTTGAACCAATATTGCCCGGTGAATGCTATGCATTGATTGGCTTTGTCCAGTCTTCGGTGGCAAGAGGGACTGGCATAGACGAATCAGAATTCATGCTGGAGCAGTGATCGAGATCAATCCTACTCAAACTGCCCACTATCAAGTGGATGCTGGGAGACAACCAGAAGTCCACTGCACTCTCCTCTGAAATACTAAGTGGAAAAAAAAAAAAAAAAAAAAAAAAAAGATGGAACCAGCTTCAGCAGACTAGACCCAGAAAAATGTCCTTAAAAAGTTGCATAGGAAATGGTTGAAGAGAAGGTGGAAATGAAAGAAAGGATACTTTGTGTTGTCGTTGGGGATTATCAAAAGTAGGGTAGGAGGGCTTATTGAACAGGGAGAGAAGGTATTACTTTCTCATGTTTGGTAGGATATATGAGGGTGGATAGGTGTGTGTGTGAGTGTGTGTGTATGTGTCTGTGTGTGTGGTCTTTGGGGGTTTTTTTAAGAAAGGGAAAATAATCTACCTCTCCCAAATGACAGATACCTTTTGGACCAATCCACAAATAAAATTGTCTCTGACTGAGAAAGATGAGGGGCAGGAGGAGTGTAGTTTCCTTGTAGCCCTGATGCAGAAAGATAGAAGGAAACTCAAGAGATTTGGTGCCAATGTGCTGACAATCGGTTATGCCATTTACGAGGTAGGTGGGAACCACATTGCATTTCAGAGTTCTCCATCTGAGTTCTAAATTCGCAGCTCCTCCTCGGTTTCACACCTGAGACTCAACCAAGAGTCCATGAACTGTGTCCGAAAAGCCAAGAGGAACTTCCCTAGGAAACCCCTCCCTTTCTTGCCCATTGCAGTGCCCTGACAAAGACGAACACCTGAACAAAGACTTCTTCAGATACCACGCTTCTCGGGCCAGAAGCAAGACGTTCATCAACCTGAGAGAAGTCTCCGACCGGTTCAAGCTACCCCCTGGGGAGTACATGCTGATTCCCAGCACTTTTGAGCCCCACCAGGAAGCTGATTTCTGTCTGAGAATCTTTTCAGAGAAAAAAGCCATTACCCGGTGAGTCAGAGGAACGGCTTCCAGAATCCCACTTCTTTTAGTAGTTTATTCATACAGAAGTCATCCAGGAACTGCTGGAGCCAAGACTCCATTCTTCCGTTTTCCATGTGTACCTGAGAAACAAGGCAGGACAGTTTCTTTCTTTTCTATTATTTATTATTAATTTTTTTTAGATGAAGTTTCACTCTTGTTACCCAGGCTGTAGTGCAATGGCGCGATCTCAGCTCACTGCAACCTCCACCTACCAGGTTCAAGCAATTCTCCTGCCTCAGTCTCCAGAGTAGCTAGGATTACAGGCACCCGCCACCACACCTGGCTAATGTTTTTTGTATTGTTAGTAGAGACGGGGTTTCACCATGTTGGCCAGGCTGGTCTCGAGCTCCTGACCTTAGATGATCCACCCGCCTCAGCCTCCCAAAGTGCTGGGATTACAGGAGTGAGCCACCACGCCAGGCTGCAGGACACTTTGTTAACTCATCTGCAAGGCAAGGCACATATTCCTTCTAGCTCTGCTCCTCCCTCCCTCAAGCAAACCACTGAAAAGTTGCTCTTTTCTACTGGTCCCAGAGTCATGCTCACGAGACACTTTTGGGTGGAGCCCTTCATTTTTCAGACCCTATTACCAAGAAGCTTCTGGGGTAAAAGCCCCATGCAGGGATGCTAGACATTTCTGGGCATGATGAAGGCGGTGGCTACTGCAAATTTCAAGAATGACATGTTCTTTCACCTCCAATTCAAATAAATGTTGGCAAATCTGCCTCTCATTTTACATACCCAATATTCCACCACATCTTCCTCACAGTGTCTTAGGGAAATTATTTTATATCAGTTACTTCTGTGGAAAATGTTTCCCTTTACTGCCCATTCACCATGGATTGCTCTGTGGCACAGGGGGAAAAATGGTTCAAGATAGATGAATCCATTTCTTTTCCCAATGACGATATTCTAAAGATTACGGAGAATGCTAAAATCTGCTAATTCTGTATTTAAGCTAGATAAGTCTCCAACAAAAAGTCAATCTGCACAGAGTTAACAAGAGAGACAGCTGTGAATACATGACTCACTCTAGTTTCATCTTTCGTTTAGTGAGATAGAATTAGATTGGTGGCATGCATTGAGAAGACTCAATTATGAAGTCTGGTGGGGTTTCTCAAGCTGATTACAAAAGGCATGGTTCTTTCTCTTGGCTAAATGGATGCTGAAAAGTCTTAAATTTTTAAACACTCTACCGGATAATTTTTCTCCAGCCTTCTCCCAGATACTAGTACAAGGTGGGGATGAGTATCCTAGTATCTGTTCACACAAAAGTACCCTGTATGAGATCCATGCAGATTGACATCTCTTACGGTGGCAAGAACAAGAGAGATCCAAGTTATGCCAATGCAATGCCTCTTGTTCTCTATCCCATTAGTGGGGTGAGCTCAGAGTCACTGGCATGCATCAGGTGACTTGTACATGGCAAAAAACCCTCCATACTCAATCTTGCTCTGAACAAGATATTTTAGTCTGCTATGATACTGAGTATAAGAATCAGCTCTGTAGCTTGGTAACGAAAATTCACACTGAGCTCTTTGTGCATTGGTTTAGCTCTCAGGCTCCTGATTAAACAAACAAAAGTTCTGAAAGGGTTATGTCATGTATGCCCAGGAGATGAGGAGGAAAGGGAGGACTACCCTCATTCAACGTTAATATTTATTTGTATTCCCTTTGATTTTGATTTTGTATCAGTTTTTCTTTGAGAGTGCTTCAAGTTTTAATCTATAAGACTGTATCCCTCCAAATGTTTTTAGCATCATCAAAAGCTGAAACCTGCTCCTCCTGTTAATATTACTACTATCCAAATACTACAAATCCCCCTAAATATGTGAATAGCAAAAAAACATGATTGCATCATTTTTCCTCTTTTTCCCTAACATAAGCACAGAGACACCCATCCCTCCCCAACCCCACCAGTGGAATCAGGAATTTACATCTGTGAGGAGAGGCAGGAGTTAGGGATGCAGCTTCAAAAGGTGGTCTTTAGGCTGGGCATGGTGACTCATGCCTGTAATCCTAGCACTGTGGGAGGCCAAGGAAGGAGGATTACCTGAGGTCAGGAGTTTGAGACCAGCCTGGCCAACATGGAGAAACATTATATCTACTAAAAATGCAAAATTAGCTGGGCATGGTGGCACATGCCTGTAATCCCAGCTACTTGGGAGGCTGAGGCAAGAGAATCACTTAAAACCCAGGAGGCAGAGGTTGCAGTGAGCCGAGATCGTGCCATTTTACTCCTACCTGGGCTGCAGAGTGAGACTCCGTCTCAAAAACAAAACAAAACAAAAAAAAGGTGGTCTTTTTGGTTCTGATTCAACTTTGTAATCTTTTAAAATGCACCCCCTCCTCAATGCCTATCACTTAATAGGTTGAATGGTCTCCAACAGATATGCATGCTCCTTGAAGATGCAGAGTTCATGGAGAGTGAATGTGTAATGCAACTGCACTGTTTATGGGTCATTGGAGGTGCTACTATTCTACAAAACACTTTATCCGTTGCCTTTGTTAAAGTTCATCAAAGAAATAGGGAGTGACTGCTGGCTTAACTTCTTTTAGTTCCATAAACCCAGAATTCACAAGTTCTTAGTGATGGCTGATATAGTTTGAATATGTGTCCCCATCAAATCTGAAGTTGAATTGTAATCCCCAGTGTTGGCGGTGGTGCCTGGTGGGAGATGTTTGGGTCGTGGATGCAGATCCCTCATGGCTTGGTGCTATCCTCGTGATACTGAGTGAATGCTTGTGAGATGTGGTTGATAGTATATGGTACCTGCCCCACCCCTGCTCCTGCTTTTGCCATGTGACATGACTCTTCCCCCTTCTGCCATGGTTGTAAGCTTCCTAGGCCTCCCTAGAAATCAAGGAGTCAAGTTAACTTCTAGGGAATATACCATGCTTCCTTGTAAAGCCTGCAGAATTGTGAGCCAATTGAACCTCTTTTCTTTGTAAATTACTCAGTCTTAGGTATTTCTTTATAGCAGTACAAGAACAGCCTAATACAGAAAATTGGTACAGAGGAGTGGGGCATTGTTAAAAAGATAACTGAAAATGTGGAAGTGACTTTGGAACTAGATAACAGGCAGAGGTTGGAAGAGTTTGAAGGCCTCAGAAGAAGACAGGAAGATGAGGAAAAGTTTGGAACTTCTTAGAGGCTGGTTAAATAGTTATGGCCAAACCATTGATAGTGATATGAACAGTGAAGTTCAGGCTGCTGAGGTCTCAGATGGAAATGAGGAACTTATTGGGAACTGAAGCAAAGGTTATGTGTGTTATGCCTTAGTAAACATCTTGGCTGAATTGTGTCCATGCCCTAGGGGTCTGTGGAAGTTTGAACTTCATAGTGATGATTTAGGGTATCTGGAGGAAGAAATTTCAAAGCAGCAAAGCATTCAGGATGTGACCTGGCTGCTTCTAACAACCTGTACTCAGATGTGGGAGCAAAGATATGACTTCAAGTTGGAATATATATATTTAAAAGGGAAGTGGAGCATAAAAGTTTGGAAAATTTGCAGCCTGGCTATATAGCAGAGAAAGAAAAAGCTTTTTCGAGAGAGGAATTCAAACAGGCTGTGGAACAACCACTTGCTAGAGATATTTACATAACAAAAAAGGAGCCAAGTGCTATAACCAAGACAATGGGGAAAAGGCCTCAAAGGCATTTTAGAGAACTTTGCAGCAGCAGTCCCTCCCATCGCAGGCCAAGGAAAAAAATGGCTTCATGGGCCAGGCCTAGGGCGACACTGCCCTATGCAGCTTCAGGACACTGTTACCTACATCCTAGCTGCTCCAGCTCTAGTCTCTGCTCAAAGGCACCAGATACAGTTTGGGCTACTGCTTCAGAAGGTGCAAGGGTGCAAGCCATAAGCCTTGGCAGCTTCCATATGGTGTTAAGCCTGCAGGCACACAAAAAAGTACAAGACGGAACGAGGCTTAGCAGCCTCCACCTAGATTTCAGAGGATATATGGAAAAGCCTGGATGCCCAGGCAAAAGCCTGCTGCAGGGACAGAACCCTCACAGAGTACTTCTACTAGGGCAATGCAGATGGGGAAATGTGAGATTTGAGGCCTTGCACAGAGTCCCCACTGGGGTACTGCTTAGCAGAACTTTGGGAAGGCAGCCATCATCCTCCAGACCCAAGAATGGTGGATCCACTGGCAGCTTGCACCTTGAGCCTGGAAAAGCTACAGGCACTCAACAACCCATGACAGCAGCCAAAGTCACGGGGACAGAGCTCCCCAAGGCCTTGGGATCCCACCCTTTGTACCAGTGTTCCCTGGACGTGGGACATGGAGTCAAAGGAGATCATTTTGGAGCTTTAAGATTTAATGACTGCCCTGTGGGGTTTCAAACTTGCATGGGGCCTGTAGCCCCTTTCTTTTGGCCTTTTGGAAGGGGAATGTTTACCCAATGCTTATACTCCCATTGTATTTGGGAAGTATAAAATGGAGTATCTTGGAACTTGATTTTGATTTGACAGGCTCATAGGCAATGGGACTTGCCTTACCTCGGGTGAGACTTTGGACTTTGGACTTTTGAGTTAGTGCTGGAATGACTTAAGACTTTGGGGGATTATTGGGAAGGCATGATTATATTTTGCAGTGTGAGAAGGACATGAAATTTGAGGGGCCACGGCAGAATGATACAGTTTGAATATGTGTCCCCACCAAATCTGATGTTGAATTGTAATCCCCAGTGTTGGAGGTGGGGCTTGATGGGAGGTGTTTGGGTCATGGGGGCAGATCTCTCCTGGCTTGGTGCTGTCTTCATGATAGTGAGTTTGCATGAGATCTGGTTGTTTAAGGGTGTGTGGCAACTCCCCCACCCCTTCACCTTCTGTGATAATTGTAAGTTTCCTGAGACCTCCTGAGAAGCAGAGCAGATGCCAGCACTGTGCTTCATGTAAAGCCTGCAGAACCGTGAGCCAATCAAATCTCTTTTCTTTATAAATTACCTAGTCTCTGCTATTTCTTTATAGCCATGCAAGAATGGCCTAACACAATGACTGTCCCTCTTATTTGCATTCGGAGCAAGGGCTGAATGACTAAGGGTGGTGGTGTCAATGCATGGGGTCTGCAAACTCTGTGAAATGTAGACAGCACTGAACAATAAGAGATTCAATGGGACAGAACCTTCCAACAGCTCTGGACTCTTCAGCTCTGCAGATCCCAATGAGAAGTTAATCCACAATTGAGGCTGTGTGTTTTTCTGCCCATACAGGGATATGGATGGAAATGTAGACATTGACCTTCCTGAGGTGAGTCTTCTGATGTTGCTATGGAGTATAAGATTCAGGTGATGCTTCTGGAAACCTTCCTTCTAATCACAGAGTCATGTAAAACTCTGTGATTCAGGGAGTGGTTATATGCGATCAAGTAAGCATCTATGATTCTAACCTCCTGGAGACCAAGATGTGTGTCTTCTAGTCTGTGCTCCTCTAGTACACAAGGACCTGGCATGGAAGTGAGGTGGGTGCTTGGTATAAAGTTGTGTTCGATGTCATCTTCCTCTGTGCTACTGTCAACTGAAATAACAAACACAGAGGCACTCTCTAAAAGAAAAGCTATTTATTTGGGGATAAAACACTGCCATGGGAATATACATGCCACAGTAAACTACGCACATATTTGGGGAGGTAAAAGAGGACAAAGGTTTTTAAAGAAAAAAATGAGAAGGGTTACGTAATTGTTTTGAAATAATTATCCTTGGCTACAAAGATCAATAACAAAGGTGAGGCCAGGCTGATGTTGGACAGGCAGTTGCTACGCAGAGGTAGAAGTATTTTTGTGTATGGTTGCAAGGGCTCTGTGAAAGGTTGTGGTTTTTGCAGCCTTTTGTGATACTTTTGTTATCAGGCAAATAAGCATGAGGACCTTCTGGCCTTCCCAAGCTCTACTTGTCAGGGTTTTCTTAACATTAGTGACTTCATTTTGATTTAATAACTTTCACACTACCAACTCCACCTGAGAGGAAGCTGCCACTTCTGAAGGGGGTAGACTATCTTTTAATTGTATTTTAAGAAAACTCATCAGTGAAAAGAAAACCAGAGAGGCAGGGAGATGTTTTTTTACTGTGGACTCAGGGGAACACATTACATCTCCCCTACATTATGTGTGTGTGGAGGGGGAGACCTGGGGGTGGTTTTACCCTCATCCAAGGGCTGGAGGACTCTCCAGAGGCCCTGAGATGCTATAGCTGGAAACAGTCTGACACATCCAGGGGCAGCAGAGATCTGCTTTTAGGAGGGAATTTGCTTCTCCATGCTGGGGCACAGCTTATTAATGGTGCTAAAAAACCAAAGAAACCAAAAATCACCTAAAACATTTACTGAGCTCTTTCTATATACCAAGCCCAGAGCTCAGTGCTAGAAACAGACTCTTGCCTTCAGTGATTTTACCAGCTATCAAAACAGATGATGAAGTGAGTCATTGCAGTCCAGGGTGGTAAGAGGTAAGCTAGAGGAAGTGCAGGAAGCATGAAAATCCAGTGGCCAGGACCTAACTTAGGCAGGGGTCAGGGTTCTTTGGCCTCCTCGTCTGTAAGGCAAAAGGGCTCCACAAGTCCAGCTAATAGAGTCCTTCTAGTCTCACCTTCTAAAGAGCCTTCATGAGAAAATGTTCCTCACGCTACAGGACGCAGCTTGTGCACATCGCATCGGGAGGGTGACATAGGGCTGGGCACAGAGGCTCCTGGCTTCTTTCCTGCTATTTTTGTCACGTTTCCTTTTTGTGGATCACTTTGTGCAAGTTTCTTCGGCTGTTTTTTAGCCCCCAAAGCCAACTCCGCCTGACCAGGAGACAGAGGAGGAGCAGCGGTTTCGAGCTCTGTTTGAACAAGTCGCTGGTGAGGTAGGACACGCCCCGCTTCCATCTCCCCACTGGGCTGAGGGCCTGGACCTGGCTTTCCAGCAAAGGGTTGCAGTTGTGGGGTTGGTCAGCAACATCATCCCGAGGCATGATGGAGCTTGTTGCAAAGACCAGCACTGATCACGGAAGGCCCAAAGACCACCCTGTTTACAACATCTCTTACTTACACAGTCTGTGGCCGTGGATGGGGCCAGTGAGCCCAAAGGAGCTCAGAATGGACCCAGACACTTTGTTTTTTAGTTCTGTTTTGTTTTAGACAGGGTATCACTGTTGTCCTGGCTGGAGTGCAGTGGTATAAGCCTAGCTCACTGCAGCTTCAAACTCATGGGCTCAAGAGATCCTATCGCCTCAGCTTCCTGAGTAGCCGGGACTATAGGCACATGCCATCATGCTTGCCTAATTAAAAAAAAAAAAATTAAAGAGTCTCACTATGTCATTCAGGCTGGTCACAAACTCCTAGGCTCAAGCAATCCTCCGGCCTCAGCCTCTCAAAGTGCTGGGATTACAGGCATGAGCTACCACGCCGGGCACCAGGTGCTTTCTTTGGGAGGCTAGACGAAGGCTTGAAGAGGTGGCTCCTTTGAACTCTGCCTGAAAATCACTGCCATTAGAATACTCTGCTGTAGTAAAGGGGATCATGTTCAAGGCGGTCCCTATTTAATTGCAACTTCCTGTCCCCCACCCTATCCCAGTCCTTTCCACTGTTCAGCTTCTTTTTTGGGGACCCTGGATGGAGCCTCACACAGATCCAGGCTCTTCCTCCACCTGCTAGGCATGGGGGAGGGAAGTCTTTCTAGAAACTGCCCCACAGGTGCTCCCTTGGAGCCATAAATAAAATGAGCAGATGAACTAATTCATGTCAAAATGCTAATGACTCTGTTAGCTTCCTGTGTTTCACTCAACTGGGGTTCCTAAATTATGAAAGGGGTCACCTGGAGTGGTGATATCTAAACCTAGGTGCTGTCTAATGGTAGTATATTAGGCACTGCAATAAATAGGCAAGGCAGGGAGATTAGGGGACAACAGGATGGGATAGAGAAAAGGGGTGTCTCATGTGACTGCTTAAAGTACAGCAGGAAGGTGGCTGAGCGCAGCCCTGGGTGGGACAGAGCATGGTGAGGGGCAAAGGCAGTGGTGACCTCCCTGCTCCTGGAGCACGCTGGGTCAGACCCCGCCTGACAGGCTCAGAGGAGTGAATGCGGGAGGGACAGGAGTTGTCAGATGGAGAATTAGGGTTTGCGAGGGAAGCGGGGAATGCTGCAGGCGTTTCAGTCGACCTTGATTAACAACCAGAAAAGTATCTCTAGAGTTCAGCCCTCCTCGACTCATGTCCTGCTTTTCTTCCAAGTAGTTGGATGACTTGGGCACGTGGCTCCATTTCTCTTTCCTCCTCTTTCGGTGGAGGCCTGGCTGGTGCAGTATTTTCTCACCAACACCAAACATCCCAAACCCCCATTCCCCAGGCCCAGAGGCTTCAGGGCGAACATGTGTTAGAAGCAGCCCACAGCATTCCACATGGCTAGTGCAAAACCCTGACCAAAATGAGGTCTGTGTCAGTGCTACTCAAACACGCTTGTGTATAAAGTGACCTGGGCATCCTGGGAAAAAAACACAGATTCCTCATCAATAGGTCAAGAGCAGCCTGGGCAACATAGGGAGAGCCCGTTTCTGCAAAAATAATCAGCCCAGCATGGTGGTGCCTGCCTATAGTCCCAGCTACTTGGGAGGCTGAGGTAGGAGGATTGCTTGAGCATGGGAAATTGAGACTGCAGTCAGCTGTGGTCACAGCACTGTACTGCAATCTGGATGACTGAGCAAGACCCTGTATCAAAAAAAAAAAAAACCTGAGACTCTCCATTTCTAACCAGCTTCCGGGGTGGGGGCTGCCGAGATTTCCTGGAGCACCTTAGATCCATGATTCTGAAATTCACCTTTATTCTTAATTCTAAATCATTCACCCTTATTCTTAATTCTAAATCAACCCCTAGGTCTTAAAAATAGGACCATATTCCCAGGTCCTCTGATTTCAAGAGTCCCTGGGGTAAGCCCCAGATGCGGGACTGTTTTAAAGCTCTCCAGGCGGTTCTGCGGTGCAGAGGAAGACTCAGTCTGGCCTTCCCAAACTACCTCCAACATAGGAACCATCTGAGGAGCTTAGGACAATTCTAGGAGCGGTTCTGACCCTCAGGGAAGTTGGGAAACCACTGCCTTGCCCTGCCCAGCTTTCCAGGTGCTTTCCTGGATTGAGACGGCTCTCAAGTTAGGCTCTCTCCTAGTTGGGCTGGCATGTCCCTAAAACATGTGACATATGAGACATGTAGTTGCAGCCACACAGGAGATAGGTACATCTGCCCAGAGCAGGGTCCTCAAGGCTGGCCTGTCACTTGAGCCAAATCAAACTCAGAACTGATTTAAAAAAAAAAAAAAAAAAAACTAAAAAAGAAGGTGCTGAGGGTTATAAAAAGCAATTGTCTCCACTTCAACAGGACATGGAGGTGACTGCAGAGGAACTTGAGTATGTTTTAAATGCTGTGCTGCGAAAGAGTAAGTGCTGCCCACATCGGGGTCCCAGGGCGCCTATGGAGGGACCAGCAACCACATTGCCTGAGTCCCCCACAACACCCCAGGCTCCCTGCTCCTCCCAGCCGACTTTTAAAATAGCTTTCATTTTTTCCTGATTCCAGAAATGATGCAGGTTTATAGTAGAAAATTCTTAAAAATGCAGAAAAGCCTAATGACAAAGGTAATCACAAATGATCTCGCCACCATAAATAACCACTCTTAACATATGTGTATCTGCATGTATGTACATATGTGTCACATGCGTAGACATACAATGTTAGAACGTTTCATCACTCCAACAAGAAACCTTTTACCCGTTAACAGTGTTAGCCCTGTACCCATTTCCTCTAGCCCCAGGTAACCACTCATCTACTTTCTTTCTCTATAGATTCGATTTACATATTCTGAATATTTCATATAAAAGGAATCATAGGCTGAGAGCAGTGGCTCACACCTGTAATCCCAGCACTTTGGGAGGCCGAGACAGGCGGATCACCTGAGGCCAGGAGTTCAAGACCAGCCTGGTCAACATGATGAAACCCTGTCTCTACTAATAATACAAAAAAAAAAATAGCCAGGCACGGTGGCGGGCACCTATAATCCCAGCTACTTGGGAGGCTGTGGCAGGAGAATTGCTTAAACCTGGGAGGTGGAGGTTACAGTGAGCCAAGATCTCGCCATTGCACTCCAGGCTGGGCAACAGAGCAATACTCCGTCCCAGGGAGAAAAAAAATGAATCATACAATATGTGGTCCTTTCTGACTGACTTTTTTCACATGGCATGATGTTTTCGAAGTCCATCCATGTATCCATGCCTCATTCCTTCTTACAGCCAAATAACATCCCATCGTATGGATGGGCCCCGTTCTGTTTATTCATTCATCTATTGGGGGCCATGTGGGTTGTTGCCAGTTTTTGGTCATTATGAATAATGCAACTGTAAACATTCCTGTACAACTTTTTGGGTGGGCATGTGTTTTCACTTCTTTTGGGTATATAGTTATGAGGGTGGTTCCACCACCATGCCACAGTCTATGGTTACATGGTGGCGTAACCATCCTCTTAACTATATGTTTAGTTAAGAGGATTGTTTAATTCTGTGTTTAATGTTTTTAAAAACTATCCAACTGTTTTTCTAAAGTGCCTATTTCACATTTTCACCAGCAGTAGTATGAGAGTACAAATTTCTCCAACAAATTTAAATCCTGCCATTAAATAGGCTGCAAAAACATGACTCCTAAGGGTCGTATAATACTCCATTACATAGACATAGCATAAAGTATTGACCATGCCTTTCTACTGGTCATTATTTCACTTTCAAATTTTTGCCACTATAAATAATGTGATGACAAAAATCTTCATATGTAATTCTTTGCTCGGGATTCTTAGAACCAGAATAAATGGATGAAGGCGTATTCCCACTTTTATTGCTTTTTTCACATTTTGCCAATGTTCCTTCTGAAAGGTCATGTTAACTTCTACTCCCACCAGCATCATAAGACAGTAGCCACATCACAGCCCCCAACAGCCCCAGATTTAGCCACATTGTTGGGCTTTCAGCAGATGGGTACATAGGTTTATCTCAATGGAGTCAACCGAATTCAGCTTTCATGTGCAATTTCAGAAAAGGACATCAAATTCAAGAAGCTAAGCCTGATCTCCTGTAAAAACATCATTTCCCTGATGGATGTATCCTTCCAAATATTTGAACAGAAACAGACATGGATCCCGGGCTTTAAGCACAGTAGAGTAATCTTTAATAGTTCAGACTCTCCAAGAACATGACATCCTTAGCCAGCAGAATAGTATTCTTTGCAGAAAATAACCCAAAGCTGGGGGACCCCGAAGCTGAAATCGGATCAGAATCAAGATGCACAAGCCTGCCCAGGGGCAGGGGTGGGAAGCTTTTGAAGGAACTTGGGGGTCTTCTTGCCACTTTGGGATCCCGTCCAAGGGAACAGAGTTCTGTTTTTGTGAACTTTCTGGGAGCACCCCCATCTCACCTCTGCCGTTTCCCCTCTTCAGAGATTTGTGGTTTAACCATTAAAACCACTTCCCCAGGGCCCCAAACCTGTGTCACCCAGGCCAGCCCATCAGCCCTCCCCATCTGCAGTCCTAGAGCTGAGGTCCCACGAGGAGCCTCAGGCTGAAACGCTGCTCACGTCTCCCTTAACCCACACGGCGCAGACCAGCGGCAATGGGAAGCTGGAGTTTGATGAATTCAAAGTGTTCTGGGACAAGCTGAAGCAGTGGATTGTATGTAACCTGGAGCAGGGCTTGGCCTCTGGGGGACCCCATGAGCCTAGAGCAGAGGGGATTTAAAAGGGTGCAGCAGACTGCAGGCTAGAGGAGTTGTATTCAGATAGGGGAGAAGGGAAAACAGCATCATGCTATTCTGATGCTTATGGGAGTACCACCGTGCTTCCACCCAAGATGGAAAGGAAGACGAAGGGGAGACTGACTTTTTTTGGAAGGCGCAGTCCAACCGTGGCCTCTGCGGCCCCTGGAGGGTAGCTCCCCCGGGCTGGCTGTCACCCACTTGCTGCCATCGGCGATGCCTTTCAGGTGCGTTCCTTCTCAATGCCTCTGCTCTCCACCCTTTAGAACCTTTTCCTTCGGTTTGATGCTGACAAGTCCGGCACCATGTCTACCTATGAACTGCGGACTGCACTGAAAGCTGCAGGTAAAGAAAAGACTGGAATGCAGGTGGCTGACTGCATACCAGGCACTGCCCATGGGCAACCTGAGCAGATGGCAGGTCTTCTCTCTGCTGCCCAGGAGGTGGGCCTCTGAGCCCAGTTGGTGCTTCTAAGGTCATGGCCCTTGGAGTGGTGGCACCAGGGTTCAGACCCAAGATTCACTTGCTGACACCAGGGCCCTCATTTTAAACCACTGTGAACACTGGTAGAAACTTTTTTAATGTATCTGCTAAAACTGAACTTGGCCCGCCCTCTGGAGGCCTCATAGCCTCTGACCATGTTTTCTGGCCCAGTACTTAACACATGGCTGTTTGGTGGCAAGCTGCAGTGATTTCAAACATCTCATTTCTGCTCTCAGATGGTTGTTATTGTGGATGAGACAGAGCATGCAGTGCCCATGGTTTGTGGGCTGCACGCCCCTCTGCCACCTGTGGCCCTGTCCTGGGCTTTATCAGCAGCAGACTCTGAATCCAAACCGAAGACTGCATCATAGTTTACACCCTGCTCCCCTTCCTGAAGGCTGGGCTCCAGGTGGCATTTCCCACCCTTGTCTGGGGTTGGATGGCCGTCGGCCTCTGTGTGGTCCCATGTCCTGCACACACAACCGTAGTTTCCATGGGTGCTCTGCAGACCTCCCGCCCGCCAGGCCGCCTGGGCTTCTCACCAAGCACACCTCACAGACAGGGGCCTCCTGAACCTTTTAAAGTGGGTTCCCTCCCAGGGAAAGCAAAATCTGGAAACATGTCCAGGCTCAGGCCTGATAAAAGGATGAAGTATACACGGCCAGGACCATCTCGGGTCCTATGTGAGGGAGAAGAAAATCAGATGATTTACAAATGAGCAAAGTGCCAGGCTGAGAAGGGCGCCTGATTTTCTTAGGGGATGGTGACTCTGTTTCCAGGGTAGGAGGAGGAACTGAGCAGGGGACAAAGGGAGCGCTCAGAGAGGAGGGGTACGGCTGTGTCTTTCCTACCCTGATGAGGGGGGATCACCCCTCATCCCCCTCCTCTAGCCCCAAACACCAGGGTTCTGGCCAAGGCCGGCTGCCAGCACTGCCGTGCAGGCTCCAGAGACTCTGCGCTCTGCGCCTGACCCCCCTGCTCCTCCGCTGGAATTACAAAGAAGCAGAAAGACCCTAGGTGGATTTTTGAACAATCCTGTGAACGCCTCCTAGAAAGCGAACATGTAGACCAAAACGAAAGGGGGAAAGAAATCACTTCTAAGGGCAATGATGAGAAATCAAAGCACTGGCCAGGTGTGGTGGCTCACACCTGTAATCCTAGCACTTTGGGAGGCCAAGGCAGGTGGATCACGAGGTCAGGAGTTTGAGACCAGCCTGTCCAACATGGTGAAATCCTGTCTCTACTAAAAATACAGAAATTAGCCAGGCATGGTGGCGGGCGCCTGTAGTCCCAGCTACTCAGGAGGCTGAGGCAGGAGAATCACTTGAAATTGAAAGGCGGAAGTTGCAGTGAGTCGAGATCATGCCACTGCACTCCAGCCTGGGAAACAAGAGCAAAATTCCATCTCAAAAAAAAAATAGAAGCACTAAATATCGGATCTAGAAAGACCTTCACTTTGTCTAAACCCCTCACTTGACAATGAGGAAACCAAAGCCCAGGGAACTGAACCCATATGCCATGGCTGGAGCAGTGCTGGGGCTCAGATCCAGGCCTCCTGGCCATAGCCTGGTGTTCCTCCCCCATCGTGGGTGTGTAGGAATGGGCCCCTGGCACAGAGTCATTCACCGTGGGCAGCAGCATCCCCTCTGAGAAACGTTCTAGAGCCACAGCTGGAAGTGACCTGAGACACAGAACACGAGGGGAGGCTGGTGTAGGAATGAGTGTGGGGCTCAGACACCACCACTGTTAAGTTCCCCCAAACGAAGCTTCCTGTAAAGTCAGCGAGACCCTATGGGTGACATGGGTGTCAAAACTAAGATCATGAACTCACTACACTCGGAAGCCATTAAACACAGAAAGCGTGCCTGAGAGTCCCCCGCACACTCGCCCCTGCACTGCAGATTCACGCTTTCACACTGCGTTCACACCAAGGACAGCAGTCCCACTGGGTGTGGGGACCCCAGCTTTGAGGAGTGAAACAGTGGCTCCCTCTTCTGAGGCCTCTCCTCGGCTGCCTGGGAGCTCCCTCAAAGGTGCAGACTCACCTCGGGACTCGGACACGGCAGGTCCTGGGTCTCCTCCTTCGTCTCCACAGGCTTTCAGCTGAGCAGCCACCTCCTACAGCTGATCGTGCTCAGGTATGCGGATGAGGAGCTCCAGATGGACTTCGATGACTTCCTCAACTGCCTGGTCCGGCTAGAGAATGCGAGCCGTAAGTGTCCAGCGAGGCCGAGGGTGCACTCGGGGTGGCATCTTCAGTCACCCTCCGTGAGCGCATGGGAAATAGCCTGGTGAAAGTAATGGCAAAGACAGACCACAGAGAGCCATGGTCTGATGTGGGACCTGTGGGCCTCTGCCGTTAGCTAAAGAGCAGAGTGTGCCCGCCTCCCCTGCAGCGTGTTTCTTGGCATCGCCTTTCTTTGTACATTCATAGTGCCTCTGCAGGAGGATGATGGGGTGGGGCAGGTTTGTGCCTTGTGTTTGAGGAAAGGTTCAATTTCAGGTTAAATCCCATCATAACATATAGAAACAGGAGAGTCTCTGTCCCTCCTCCTCCCCACCTCCCCACCCTGTAAGCCCTAGACATTAACCCAGTTACCTTAAACAAGATTTGTTACACCACAAATAGAGAGAGACTGTGCCCGTGAGCTTCAGTGTTTGCAGTTTATTGTCATAGCCATCCTGCCCCTCACAGGTGGCTTTGAAGGTGGGGCTGAATGAAGCATGTCCAGGGCCTGTAACTCAGCACCGGGGTGGCTACAAGGACATGCCCTCTGTATAGGTGCCAAGGGACCCATGCCCCCAAGGGTGCCTCATGCTTGGTTTAATGCTCTAGCGTTTTCATCTTGAAAGTCTTAATAACTTAGGAGCGGGAGGCCTCGTGTTTCCATTTTGCCCTGGGCGTCACAAATTATGCAGCTGGTCCTGCTTGGTATTTTCTAATCTATGTTCCATAGGCCACTTCAAGGTACGAATACTTGATTTAAAAAAAAAAAAAGGCAGGGGGCCGGGCACAGTGGCTCATGCCTGTAATCCCAGCACTTTGGGAGGCTGAGGCAGATGGATCATGAGGTCAGGAGCTCAAGACCAGCTCATAGTGAAATTCTGCCTCTACTAAAAATACAAAAAATTAGCCGAGCATGGTGGTATGCACCTGTAATCCCAGCCACTCGGGAGGCTGACACAGGAGACCGCCTTGAACCTGGGAGGCGGAGATTGCAGTGAGCTGAGATTGTGCCACTGCACTCCAGCCTGGGCGGACAGTGCGAGACTCCATCTCAAAATAACTAACTAACTAAATAAATAAATAAATAAATAAATAAATAAAATTAAAATTAAAAGGTGAGGGCTGTGACCCTCGGTTATCAGCATGACAGCTCCCTCTGCTTCTTTGGTAGTAGAACACTAACTACTTGCTTGAAGCACAGCCCCTCTAGACTCTAAGCTCCAGGAGAGCCATACTTTATGGACAATCAATGAATATGTGTTGATTAAGAGATGATGAGAGAAAACCACAGAGAGATCAGCAGGCCCCAAAGGGGCTAGTATATCAAGCCAGGAGGCTGGGCTTTCCCTAGGGGTTACTGGTAGCTAGTGAGAGGTGCATTCTACAAAGACCCCTCCTGAAAGAGAATCACTCATTAGACTTACAGGGTGGTCAGAGCTGACCCTAGAAATAATGAGATTTGCTAGTTTCTCTTCTCTCAATTGCTCTTTCCCTTTCTAAACCACCCAGGCTTAATCCTTCCCAGCAAGAGGGGTGGGAGTGCCTCAGCTTGTTCTTATAATAGAGGAATATTATAGGCTTAACGCCTTCCACTCTGGGATCCTCACATTAGATTCGCCTGGAGAACTTTTACAATTACCAAGGACGGAGCTTTACTCCAGTATTATTTTAACTTTTTATTGTAAAAATGTCAACCCTCCACTTAGATATAAAGAATCATAATAGGTTCCCATGCACCTCACACCAGCACTTCTCAAACTTTGCTATACATTACAATATCCAGGGGTGCCTAAAGAAATGTTGATGACCAGGCTGCACAATTGACCAATTCTATTCGAATCTCAGGGGTGGCACCCAGCATCAGGAGTTATACAGATTCGCCAGGTGTTTCTAGACCTTTACGCCCAACCTCAAAAATTATCATCTTGCTGACCTTTTCCTTGTGCTCCCGCAACACAAACTTTTTTCTCCTAAATAATTTAATAGCAGATCTCAGAAACTCTGTCCATTCATCTGAATATCTCAAGCTGATAGACTTGTTTTTAGCATCATCATCATGCCATTTGCATGGCTAACAAAATTCTCAGCAAACCCTCAATGTTCTCTAGTGCCCAGTCCATGCCCAAATCTCCCAGGCCACCTTTTTACAGTTGCTTGGTTGACTCAGGATCCACATAAGACCCAGTCGCAGTGTTTGGTTGTTGGTTCTCTTCCATTTCCTGTGTTCAGTGACGGTCCCCCGCGCCGCTTTGGGTTATATTGTTAAAGCTGCCTGTGAGATTCTGAAGTGAAGCCAGAGCTGATTGGCTCAACCTCGTCTTCTGAAGGTGAGGAGGCTGAGGCCCAGAGACAGCAGTGACTTGCTCAGGTGACACCATGTGGTAGACCCAGCCTCCGGCTCAGTGCTGGCATGCTCTCCTGTGCCTCTGGACTCCTCCTGTCCTGTGACAGTGCCCACAGCCCCTTCCTACAAGGGCGAGACTAACAACTTTCAGATTCATGCAAAACTTTATGTACATGTGCTTTTTTTCTGGGGCCCATGGATTTCAAGGGCCCTGTACCCCCCAGAAGGTTAAGACAGGGGAGTTGCTTTGGCTCCGGGAGCTGCTGGCCGGCTGACTGGCTTAGGTGACCACTGGCTTGCTACAGGACTGGAGGCCTCCATCCATTCAGAGAAGTTCCCCTTCAGCCGGCCCGAGTCCTGCCGCCGTCCTTAATGAAAGTCCTTGTTTACCACCAGATGGAGCAGCTTCCCCACAGGCTCCACTGAAAGGCCATTTGGTCGCTGGGAAACAAACTTGGTAAAGGAATTTTCTTTAAAAGGATGCCTTTCCCCCGTCTCTTCTATCAGGGGTGTTCCAGGCTCTCAGTACGAAGAACAAGGAGTTCATTCATCTCACTATAAATGAGGTATGGCCAATCCAGACCCTCTGCTCAGGGACCCAACCAGGGCCCGGCAGAGTCCAAGCTCCATAAAAGTTTGCCGAACCCATGATTTCATGCGAGGACTGACATCTAGCTGTGGGAGTGATTACAACAAAATAGCTAATATTTTTGAGATACTACTTATTAAGTAATCAATTGAACCATTACAATAATTCTGTGAGCTAAGTACCAATAGTATCCCCATTTTGCAGGGTGGAAACTGAGGCGTAGAGAGATTAATCACCTTGACTTGAGTGAGTGAGCAGACTCTGCCTTCTTGTCCTTCTCTTCCTTCTGTCATTTGGGTAACTTAGCCTGCCTGCCTTCCAGCTGCCAGTTTGCTTACTCTCACTTGCTTGTGTTGTCCTGTGGTTCCCATGATGCTCCCCCAAACTCTGACAAGTACAAAACTGGTCAGTTACCGGGGTCATCATAGCAATGATGGGGGTGGGAGACAATGGGTCCGAGTGTCAGAGGCGTGGGAGAAGGATTCCAGGGGATTTCAATCACCCCCTCCCCAGAGGATCCCCGTGGACCCCATCTGCTCAGATGGTGGTCCATGGGCCAGCAGCAGCACAGATAGCACTTAGGAGAGAGCGTTGGAAATGCAGAGTGCCAGGCCCTGCCCTAGACCTGCTGAATGAAAGTCGCCTTTCACAGGACCCTCGTGATTCCTGTGCACATGAAGCTTGAGAACGCTCTTGAGACATTCCCCTGCCCAAAGGCAGAGGGAAACCTGTGGAGCAGCTTCCTTCAGTGGTTTCTGTAATTTTTATCTCCCTCTTCCTTCTTTCCCTCCCTGTATCTCTCTTTCTACGTCTTTCTCTTCTACCTAACAACACTAAAGCCAGGCAGCCTGTGGCTCCTCCCCAATCTCTGGGGTTTCTCCTCTCCACCAGTTTCCATACTCACACTCACAGTTAGCTCATTTCCAAATTCAGTAGTAACTTTGGGTTTGGAAAACATTTTATTGAATATTTGAAGATGAAGAGCTTGATGACAGTATGTGTTTTAGAGGATTGTACCTCCTCCCCTCTTTTGTGCTCTGATTTCGATTAATCAGGCTGCTCTGTGCCTTGGTTTAACCATTTACAGAAAGAGACATAGGCCTTAATATATTACACCAAAAGTTTTGCTTTATAATAATATCATATAATTTGGCAATTATGTTGACTCGCCACTAATTTTCTCAAGTGTGTATCTCAGATCCCTGGATGCATTATTATTTCATTGAGAACAGAAACTGGGCATTTTTCTTCTCTAGTTTTGTCTTTCACCTTCAGCATGTAGGACACATGTAATAACTATATCTCCTTTGATCACTCCAAGATTCCAAAGAAAGATATGCACACTCAAACTATTCTATTATGAAAATAAGAGGAAGCTGGGGATGGTGGTGTGCACCTGCAGTCTCAGCTATTTGGAAGGCCTAGGCGGGAGGATTGCTTGAGGCCAGGGATTTGAGGATGCAGTGAGCTATGATCTTGCCACTGCACTCTAGCCTGGATGACAGCAATAGCAAGACCCTGTCTCTTAAAAAAGAAAGAAAGAAAACAAGAGAGACCCCTAGGTCCACCTTTATTTATCATTTACTTTAAGGTAAATGATAAGTAATGTCACTAAAAAACATGAAAAGTGTGATGGTTGTCCCTGGTCCACGGTGGAAAGAGAGAGTGGGAAGGTTTGTTACTCAGTGGCCTCCTGGCTAGTCAAAGGCTCCAGAGCACCAGCAGCATGGAGGAAGTATTCCAGTGCTGCAGATTCAAGGTGGAAGTGTGGACACCTCCAACCCAAGTGTCCACAGGTGTAGGGACTGGAATGGGTTCCTGCCCTGCCCCATATCATCACTTTGCAGGACAACAGGGAAAACCATTGCATTCTCTCCCTCTAAAGCTACCATCCTTACATCTGGCTGCATGCTAGCATCACCTGGGGAGATTTAAAAATTCTGATACCCCAGCCACTCCCCAGATTGATTAAATTTGAATCTCTGGGGGTGAGGCCCAAACATTGTTTTTTGTTTTTGTTTTTTTAAATCCCCTTGGTGAGTCCAGTGTGCAGCCAAGTTGAAGTATCCATGTTTTAAAGTACCTCTCCTTCTCCCCTGACCCATCCCAGGAAGCAACAGGAGCTTTTCCTGGCCGAATTGGCCTCACCTGCAGTCACTTTCCTAAAAGAGCCTGTGCACCTTTCATTACGGTAACCCCGATACTATATATGCTGTGCCCAGGAAGGAGGACAGAGAAGGGAGAAAGAAACCATCTCATATAATCACGTTACCCCAAATCACCATGCTGTGATAAGCAAGCTGTTGGGAAGGAGGAGGCAGGGTGGACTCAGGAGAGAAAACGAGGAGGAATTCCATGCTACTTCTCCTTCAGCTCACTTGTAACACCCACCGTCTTCAGAACGTGCTTCCACTTCCTGCAGCCCCTCCGTGGTGAAGGGCCGCCTCTCTCCCACAGGTGAGAGGACCCCTCATCAACAAGGAAAAGGCACTTAATACTGCCCTGCCCAAGATGCCTCAGCAAGGCTGTCTTCTTAACAGGGAGAAAGTACATTTTCCCGTCTCTGTCTTACCATCTGTGCTTGATGTGAGCTCACTCGGAAAGGACTCAGAACCTCCAGAAAATGTCAAGTGCTGAGAATTCATTTATTTTTTTTTAAATGGTTTCCTGTTGAGACAGGCATCCAAGTTGGCAGGCAACATGATCAAATAGCAGATCTCCTGTGATGTCAGCAAATTGGGGCCACTCCTGAGGCTGAGGCTGGAAGGGACATGGAAGGACA